TTACACGGTCCACTCTCCCACGTTTGTTGATGTGCCATTATTTCAGGACCGGTCATGATGAGCTCATATTGGTAGTGTGTGGGTGGAAAGCTAAGCTGAATGTCTTCCTCTTTTTGTCTAGTTTATTTTTAAAATCCTGCATTCTAATAGAGCAGAAAGAAGTCTAAGCAAACTGTTACAAGAGAAGACAAAAAAGGTAAATTTAGATCTGACTAATGGATATTCTTATGCCAAACAACCAGCTTTTAGTCACCAATCTTTCAGCAGATATTCCTCAAATGTGAATTTTGTGTGTATGGATCCCAGGTTAACATGACCATCTTGGGTCTTCATGTGCTGACTCAGGGATGTTCTTAAGGAGATGGCAGATTTTCATGCTGGAATCAATAGCATTGATTTTGTGGAGAGGTAGTTGGGTGCAGTCAATTCAATTTACCAATAACTTAAACTAAAGAAAATGTTGTTGAGTAGTAGGGGCCAATGTGTAACACCTCCTGGAAAGCATGGTGCACTGTGGTCATGCGAACCTTTCTGACTCAGGTCCTTGGATAATATTGAGCTATTTTTCCAATAAGACAGAAAGGACTGCTAATGATGTACATTGTAATTACTGCTTATGCATTATTAAATGGAATAAATGGATAATGATGCATAAAGGGGATCCTTGTCTACAGCCCTTCGCCGTTGATCTAAAATATTTAAAAGCACCTTAAAAGGACATTTTAATGTTTAGTAAAAATGTTTTTGTAGTCAGAGCTGGGCACCTCAGTAAAGTGGTTAAAATCCAATAACACTTCCTAATATCTGTGGGAATATGTCTCAGCATAGTCATGCTCATGGCCTGAACACAACTTGAAGTTCAACTGTATTTCTAAACTTTGTCCCGTAAAATGGAAAGACAATATGTTGGCCTGCAGTCACAGAGGCGGAACTGTGAAATTGTTGGTGGCCATGGGGTGTCTGTGGTCAGGTGTAAGGAAAGTTATCAACCTTGTGGCGAAACCTAAGAAGAAATACATGATGTTGTGTTACTTTCATAACATGCGATAAAATGTGGGGTTTTTAAGGACTGCCAAAATATCTTGTTAATCTTTGTATTTTGTTTTTAATTGCTGTACTTCCCCCTTTTTGTGAGCTCTCTTGATAATTTTTTGCCTTGATCTGACACTTTTCAAATTTTAATCAACCTTTTTTTTACAAAGGTGTACTGTACCTGTAAAATAGGTTTGTTCACCGACAAGCCAGAGATTGTGCTGACTTCGTCCTCTGGTGTTGGACAGCTGTAATACATTGGGCACACTGTACTGTACTGTAATACATTAGACACACTGGAGTCCTGTGTAAAATACCCCCTCCCATATCCGACACACATATACCTACACCAGAATTTCAATATAAATCTATGGATTTAACTAGGCACTGTCTCCTGAGCTGGATTAGCAGTAAAGACATCTGTAAGGGCGGATTAGAATGTTTTACAGAAAAAATGGTCTCATTATCCATTTCAATTCCCTCATTTTAATGGCTCCTAATGGATATTCCCTCTTGGCAAAGAGCCCCTGTTGACCTCGATTTGGAAGACACTGGATGAATAACTTTATTTACAGTCAAAATTACTGTCAGTTGCTGCAGGTCACTGCTAGTTTCATTTTGAGATAATACCATAAAAAAAGAGCAACCTCCATGCCTCATGGGGCCACAAAACTGTATTGACACTCCTCTGTGAGAGAACTGTAGATTGTACTATGTTGTTCTCTATTAATAGAGTGTACCTCAGTGCACATTAGGCTTTTCATGATGAACACTTGTGGTCCAGTGCTACTTGTACAATTAAGAAATTTCTGTATCTACACAATGGTTTTATGTGACTAAATAACTCCTGATTAGTCTTCTTAAGGATGGCACAGTGGCACAGTAGCTGGCATTGTTGCCTTCAGAGATGGGGCCTTGGGTTCAATTCTAGACCTGGGGTGTCTAAAACTGTCTGTTTAGAGTTATGTTCTTCTCATGTTTGTGTGGGTTTCCTCTGGGTGCTCAGGTTTCCTCCAGATACATACTGGTAAGTTAATAAGCTTCTAGGAAAATAGGCAATGCTGTGAGTATGTTTGTGTCTGTGTCTGCCCTGTCTGTCCCTTTTCTTCACATCTTGCACATTTAATACAAACAAGAAATATAATGCATGGAGTTTAATTTTGGGAGTGGTGTGCATAGATTGTACGACAAAGAAACTGATTTCACTCTGGTTTTTGTTAGACTATAGGTGGGGACCTACAGTATGAAGGAGGAGTTCTGAATCATTTACCTTCTCAACACACATCTTTGGCACCTCTTTTACCTTGTGTGTGTCCACTGGAATAACAACAGGGACTGTTTTAATCTTTTACAACTTGTTTATGGTAAGATGTTCAGCCTTCCCCTCAGAGAGCTTTCACATGTCTTTGCTGCTCAAGGCCTGACTCTTGGGGCTGAGGTAGGCCTCGCAAACACCAGGGACTGGATTTTGAAGGAGGAGGTTTTTCTGCATCTTGAAAAATGAGCAGACGGTGGTTAGCCATTGCTGTTTCCCCCTTTTCGCTGCTCTAAAATCACAACCAGTTAAGGCTTTTTTGCTCAGAGTGGAGTTTGGGCTGTTGGAATTTCCCCAGTAGAAACACACCCCACTGAGCACCTCTTATTCACAACTGTAGCGGTGTTAACCTGGCACCCTGGTTAAAGTCCACTCTGTGCTTGTGTGATATGGTCTCCCTAATATTCTCCTTTAATTAATTGTGAATTGACTCCCCTGATCTGCTATGCAGATCTTCTGCTATGCAGGCTGCTGTGTGTCGCTCCGGTGGGTGGTGGATGAAGTCCGTCACCTCCTAAATGTGATTACTTTGTGATGAAAATCTCTACAGAAATGTGAGGAATGTTATGAATATTACTAATAACATTTTAGGAAGGTAAAGATGCAAGAAAAGGTCCATTTTTCAATTATACATGTACTACCAACAGTGAGCAGAGCTGACAATTGGTAGCATAAGTTTAGAAAGGGATGGATGAAAACAAAAGCAAATGACAATAGCAAAGTGATAAAAAGGGTCCCTTTCTTTTCAAGAAATTTAATCTAAGTAGCTCAGGGACGTGCAAATGCAGCACAGCACTTTCCGATCTTGATCCTTTTCTATTTAACTGCATTTCTTCCTGGCTTGATCTTCCAAGTCACTTTTAACAGGCTGTGAGGGGCAGTGCATGTAAACAGATTGGATAAACCATCAAAGACAAAGCTGCTCTTCTCAGATAACTTTTATTTCACAATTAAAACCTCATACAGACATTCTGCTCAGTGTACATTCATCTTTGTGCGGCCACAGGTTGAGATTGACATTAATCCACATTGGGTACAACCACAAATCGAAATGCATATACACCGTCCCACAAACATTTGTTCATTTGAGACATTTGTTCAACAGTTTGAGCCATCTCTCTCCAAAGCATGACTCCATGTTGATGTTCTTGATCCTTTCTAGTTAGCGGGAGTTAGTTGATGGTGTTTCCTCTGTGGAGACTGATGTCTGGAAGGCTTTACAACAAATCTAATGCTAAATCCTTTCCAGGGACAGCTGAGGTGGCAGTAGCTGTTTTGCAGAGACAAGCTGTTATGTTCTTGGTCTTCCTGGTGTCCAGTAGCTGTATTATTGAAGGCAGGGTGTTCAATGTATATTTCCACTTGTTGCCATATAGTTCTGTGAGAAATGTAGTCAATCTAATAGGCAAACTGCTTGCGGTGCTACAGTATTCTCTTGTTAAATGGTTTAAGTTTACATGCCTCACATCTTTTTTTCGGCAAACAACACAGTCATGTGGTGGTAGGGAGTTACGAGTGGTTGGGGACTCATGACACTTCACTCAAAAACATTCCTGTCGTTTATTAAAAGTAATTAACAGCTGTGCCTTTCTGTGTCCCTTAAAAAAAGTCTGAAGTTTGTGCATGGTCAACAAAAACTTAAATGTACATTCGTACTGCTTGTGGGCCCACATTTCTTTGGGAAAGTGTTTTTTACATAGTGAAGAAAGGAAAAAAAAGGTACAGTACAAAGTAAATACAGTGCAGCTGCATTCCTGTTTAGAGTGATAAAGATGTGGCTGCACTAATCATTCTAGGAATTTGAAGTGCATTTTAAAGATTACACCATTCAGTAAAAAAACAATGAGTAAGGCATTATAATGAACATCACAAATGATTAGCAATACATCAGCATCTAAAGATTCCTAAGCTTGGTTAAGTTAGTATATAGTTGGAGCATTTTTTAAATGCTAAGATTTAGTTTAGTTCATTCATAAAAGATCCCTAAACAGACACATGAAATATTTGATACTTGTTTACCTTAGAAGCTCAGTCTGATTTATCTAAGAAATCTAGATTCAATAGTAAGCACTTAATGATGTAAGAGCCTTAAGATGTTCCTATGAAACCCTCACCCATCACTCAGCATTTTTTATTCCCCACATTTGTCTTTAGTGGCTCTTTGTGATGTTTGCATCCTTAAACCTGAGGAGACAGACACGGCCTGTGACCACGGCTCTGCAGGTACAGTAGCTGTGCAGATCTGTCAGAAGGTCAGTGGGGGTCAGGTTGATTGGTCAGTCAAGAGTTCCCATGCTGAAACCCAGATTACTGCAACTTCCTGGATGTCTGTGAGAGACCTACTGCGCCACCACTCAGTGGTGTTTCTCCTGTCAGCTGCCATGGAGTTCACAGTGGGTCAAAAGACAAATGGTTTAAGTGCTGGACTGGGGGAGCATGGCTGCCCTTTCTCCTTCACTTCTTGCTGTGCAGGAGTTGTTGCTCTCTGTTGAGACTATAAGAAGCAGTTGGTTGCCTTAATATGATGTGACAGGTAAAGGTGATTATAAATTGAGTGGGTAAAAAAAAATATTTTGTTGTACAGGGTCAGCATCAGATGGAAGATACAGCACTGCAATTCATGGCAGGTCACTGTCACATAGGCAACACTGGCTGACTTAAACCCTTTGGCCTTCATTGTACTGCACTAATATTGTACTGTCAGGTCACTGGATGAGCTGGATCACAGTTGACTGATGGAATAGCCCACACTTGAACCAGTAACATACTGTATAAACTGCAGTGCATATGAACTTGCCCAGTGCTCCAGAAAAGCACTTTAACTAAGTGAATCTCTCTTTAGCTCCCTGACTTATTTTTCTATTGTGATTCCGAACTGAAATTCTCAGATTATTGTGGAATGGGAAAAAAAGATTCCACTGTCGTATTGAGCCTGAAGCAACTGTGAGAGATCTGCACTGAAGCACATAAGTAACACAACAGAAGAGTCATAATCTATAACATGACTCAAGCAGGAGTGACTACAGCACAATTTGGCTGGATTTTACCATTGCAAAGTAAAGGTGCCCAACAGTCAACTGAGAGTATAGGAAAATACAATAGCTAGTACAACAGGTTTTTTACTTTTGTATTTTCTGAGCAGAACAGCAGTTTAATAATTCAAAGACGGCTTGTTTTATCTGGCAGGGATACGGAGGTAAAGCAGAAGCATTGAAGCTAGGCTACTCTAGTGTACTCTGTGCGGATTATATCCAGCTAGAACGATGGTCTCTGGGGTTTTTCTGTTTGTTTCAGGCTCAGAAACGTGCCAAACACCCTCTTACTAGTGTGAGATCTCTGCTGAGGTGTTGCTAGGTTTCTGATGCTCCAATAGCAGAGCCAATGCATTGCCAGCCTAGAATTAACAAAACTAAATGTCACTTTGCACACCTGCAAGAAGTTGTAAAGCCAGTCAAGTCCTTTTTCTGTGTGGCACTGCTTCAGGGCTTAAAGGACCAGCTAAGAGCCTACCACACCGACCGTGGAGTGAATTACTCAACTTTGGCCCTGCTCCCTGGCTTTAGACAGACAATAATTTAAAAAGATCTATAAATCCTTCAGGATTATAGCTACCTTCCAGTGGTCAGGAAGCCAAATGCCATAATCCTAAGAATTAAGAGAATCTCCAGGTGCAGGTGCTGATTCTCTATCGTAAATGGATACTACATTCCATTTTTTTTAATTGGCTAAGGCTCAAGAACAGCTAAGAACTGGTGCTCTATGAAACAATAGCTTTTTAAAAATTTGTTGCTGAATGCGTATTTCATTTTGCAATGCCAACCTTGCCCAGAGAGAGTTTCAGTGCCCTTTGAAGACTTGTTGCTATAATATACAGTATACAGTCTTTAATGCTGAAGAACAATAAGTGTAAAAGGTGCTTATAATGTCAGTGGGGTCATTCCACAGATTTCAGTCTTGTTCAGTCCCACATGCCATAACTTTCCTCACATCCTCTATCACAGGAGCTCGCACAGGAAAAGTGGGATTGTTGTGGACTGCCTGTTGAGAAACATCCAGCATTCTGTTCCAGGTGATTGGAGTGCTTAAAGAATCAGAGCACAGAGCAGAGTGCTATTTGGAAATAACTAAAATTGCTTCAGTTATGACTTCATTGTTACACCATCCGTTAATGCATCATGTCTCCAACTCTATAGCAAGGCAGCTGTAGAGCCAACTTTGGCATAGCAAGTGTCTTAGCTGAGTGTATGGTAGGTCCAGAAAAAGAATATGCTATTTGACTTTTCCGTTTCAAAATATTGGCAAAGTTTCACTGATATAAAATTCTGCAGTGGCAGAATTCTTTAGCTGCAGTGGTTGGTTATGCTGTTAGGTACTGCTTTCTCATATGCAGGTCAAAATGTAGGATTCTTTTCTCACAAGATGGTCGGACTATGCGTTTTCCTGAACAAATTGAATCGGCAGCCAAGAGGATAGTCTGAGGGAGTGTGGGGGTGTCTCCCAACTCCACTCACACCTAGTAAAAAAGAAGAAAAAGCCATCTCTCCAAGTCTGATTTCTTTAACTACAACTAGAAGGCTGTGAGAGGCATTTTAGTTCTGAACAAACAGGCATGTCAGCTGAAGAGCATGTTAGTGTATTTCCCCTGTTTGAGTCTGCATTCACAAATATTAGAATACCTAAATATACAGCAAGAGTTCTTTCTCTGCATTGTACGTTATTCTACTGTGAGAATTTGGAGTAGCGGAATGAGGTAAGTTGCATTGGATAGATTGTAGTAATGATATGAACATTTGCTGCTTGGGGCTAAGGGATTTGGTAGTGAGTGCTGCAGAAAGCAGTGGCGAATAAGAACACAGGTATGATGAGGCAGATCTGCAAAGCACAGTGGTACAAAGATGCACGTTCCAATTGATTTGATCTTCCTCCGCCCTCCTCAGCGCTAAGAGTCAATAACGTGATCGAATAGGAAGCTCTTTAGGTACACCTCCACTGTGTCCCCTTGCGTGCAACGTGCTGGTGTCAGTGACTCACTGAAGCAGCACTCCAGCCTACATGCAGTACTGTGTCCATCCCACACAAGTGCTTGACTGAGGAAAATGTTTGATAGCACCTCTCCAACGATTTTACGTCTCTTGGGAGTCACGGAGGAAGCATGACTGGTGTTGGTAATTGCTACATTTAAGAATTTCACAAAGCAAAAGAACCGGTGCAGAATTAGTGGCACAACTACATATCAAAGCCATACTCCAGCCCTTTTAGCAGTCTGTTACATTAGCATTTATGCATTTATCTGCTGGCTAGAGCCCAAAATGCATATGCATAAAGCTGTTATAAATTGATTTGAATCCTGAGAGTAATGGGGTGTCTTCTTGTTTTACTGGTTTCAACAAAGAAATGCATAGTTGAAAAAGCAAATGTTGCCTGGCTTTGGTGGCTAAATGTTGCTCCTCCCCATTATAGAAAGAGAATCAATTCACTCAAGCAGTAATGGAGGAGCCCCATTCTCTGGGGTCTTTTGCAAGAAAGCAGAGGAAGTACTGTATGATCTCGTTTCTGTTCGGTTCCTCAATTTCTGGCACTTAGAAAAAGAAATCATTCGCTCTAACTGGCCAAGTGAAACAAAACTAGCTATGTTAACTTTGAGAAATGGATGCTTATGAGCCCTCTGTTGTGCATTAGCTATAAAACCAATAAAAAGCTAAACAAAAACTCTCATGGTTTTAACTATACCCCTTTATGTGTCACTCCATAATAAAAAATCCTTTTAAAGTTATGACGAATGGAAAATTCTACTTTCTTTAAGCAATATGTTCTCTTCACCACATTTTTCATTCAGTGGCATAGAATCATTCTATAAAGCAATCCACTGTATTTCTACAGTCCACCTTTCTGCATCCATCTTTTACTCTTTTACTCCACTGATCCAGTGGAGGCTGCCTGCAACATGGCTACATGGATCCTTTCCCAGAAGAATACCATTTAAGGTGGGGTTTTCTTTCTAGAATGCCAGTCCATTTCAGGGTCACAGAGAAACAAACAATTTTGAGTAGTTACTCAAACCTAACCAGTCTGTCTTCAGATAGAGGGAGAAAACTAGAGAAACAAGTGAAAACCCTTGCACACATGAGAACATGCAGACTTTGCAAATAAATACTTTAGAATATGGGTGGAAAATAGCTTTTGTGAGACTTCATGAAGTGCATCATGCTTACATTCAGGCCAGTTTTTCCCTTTTGCATAAGATTTTTTCTATACTCCTCTTTCTTCAGCACACATTACCCGTTATGTGTTAAGACGTCCGCTGTGAATTCTGAGCCGCCCTTAGAGGTCTGCTTTGCAAGTCTTTATCGCAACACTTATTTACTCTCTGTCACTAAGTGCTGATACTAAACTCTGAAGAACTGCTAAAGAATTAGGACAAATGATCACAAGATTTCTCCCAAAGGCAGGAGGTAGAACCAGAAATGAGGACATTGTATTTTGGGACCGCATGCTGGCTGCTGCATACCTCTGAGAAAAGCAGTAACGACCTTATTCTGAAAAAATAAACCTGCAAGTAACCCAGTTTTAAAGAACATTTTCAAGGACAAGTGGTAGCTTTTCTTACAATGAGCAACCGGGATTAAAAAAAAAACGCTATTTTTCTCATCTATGTACTGTATCATAAAAATATAACATAAAACCCCACACATTAACCCATTACTTAGAATCTGTACAGCATTATAGGTGTAGTGTAGGAAAAATCAAATAATGAAACTTCCAGTCTACTCCAGTGTGAGTTTCTGGAATCAGCTGTTTCATCATATACATTAGTTTAATGCAGGGATGCACAGCTCCACTCCTGAATTTTCTTTCAACATTAAATTTCCACATGAATTCCGCATGAAGCTCTCAATTACCAAATTGAACTCATTGTTTGCTTAACTGGACAAGGAAGCCTTTACTTGTCTTAAGAAGATGGAGATTAAAAGAGACCTATAACACCTGCTGGACAGCAGTCCCTGAGGAACCAGAGTGGGGACCCCTGGTCTAATGTACTGTTATAGTAAATAATTAAAAAGCTTCTTGTACACGGATTCTGTACAGTAATGGATTGAAAGTTTCAGTATTTGACTTTCCCTGGTGTATAGTATTTAAGTGAATTTGAGAATAATAACAATACAGAGGAACCTGGATAACCAGTGCTTTGCTTTAAAAGCTATAAAACTGGATGCAACACATCTCACTACCTTACTGCCTACCCATATTATTTAATACCTTAATTTCTGTAGAAAATCTTTATTCTCACATCTTTTGTGGAAGATACATGAAGCTGTGTTTTTACGATTTAGCCAGACAAGACCATAACTGCTAGTTTTGTGGTCGTATAAGGACCTGCACACCCCAAGTCAAGTTCAAATAATTCTATTTGGAAATTGATTTTTATAGTAGTTTTGCATTGGTATACATAAGTAGCATGCATTTTCACTTTTTTCTCCAGTAAATTTGATCTGCAAATTGGAATGTTCTCAAAAGCTACGACGAATAGATATTGTTATCTAGGATCTACTGAGATCCGGTACAATTTACCTCCTGAGAACAGTACAGAAACTTGCAAGAAAAAAATATTTAGTCCTGTCTAGCAGCGTTTTCCAGAAATATCAGTTAGGAGACAGAGCCAGCTTGATAGTTTGACAAAAGCTGGAAACAAACAACATTCTGTTAGATGTAATAGCAGATTAAATTGGTCAAAATCTTTAGTCAATCTAATGTACGCAATCTGCTCAGTGAAGATATACAGTACACCACCTTTAGATATAACTGAGGGTCTCTTTCTGAAGGTGTGTTGATAAGCCTGTTTGTGGAAAGATTGCAGCAGTGCCTTTCAAGATCATGACGGAGAGATACAAAGTGGATTGCTTGATCTCCATTGACAGTCCTATTCCCCTCTCCACAATGTCTGGATAGCAAAATCTGAGCCTGCTTGCAGAGAAAGGGCAGAGCTAGGATCCAGCTTAAAGCCAATTCCCACACAAGACTCACACTGACAGGTACTGTAAGTGTATCAAACCCCCCTCCCCTCCCCATTACAAACACAGGGATGTTGTAATACACATCTGTCTAAGGGAATTAACAGCTCAGATGCTCTCACTCTCTGGTGCTGTTACATAAGACTACAGCGTAGCCCTTCTAGTGTCATTAGCAGGTTTGGGAATTCAAACCCTTTAGCTCAGCAGTGACTGACCTCTCATGGTTATGCAACACCAATTTTTTACATAACCTGCAAACTAGAACTGAAGACCGTTACCTTACAGCTGAGCGTTGCACGTATCCCTGGAGCCAAAGTCTCCAGGAAAACAGCAGCAGGCTCTGACATGTCCTTGCCTGTTGTAACTGAAAAACAGGGATGTTAAAAAAAAAATGACAAAAAAGGATACTTTTTCTCATCCGCCGAGAGGAGTCTCAAAAGTTTTGGTCTGAAGGGTTGAGAGAGAAAAAAAAGGATTTATTGGACTTTGACTGCGGGGCAAATATTTACTGGCATTTAGAAAGAAAGCAAACCCAGTTTTATGGGTGAAGAGAGTTCAAAGAGCTAAAGGCAATCCAGGCACAGTTCTAGTGGAGGTCACCATGGCAACAGGGCCTACTTGAACTTTACTGGCAAAGGTAGACAGGTCCTGAGACCTAACATGGAGGCAAAGACGATGGTAGGTCGGTGCTTCTTGAACTTGAGGGTCTTCTTCTTCAGGCTGCGGCAGTTCTCTGCGGCAAAGAGCTCCCCCTGCTGGGCGGCGCCGGAAATGCGGGCCACCAGCTCCCCGTGTTCCACCACCTCCTGTTCGGACTGCACGAAGATGTCATGGAGCTCCTGCAGCCTGCTCTCCATCTCCAGGATGACCCGCTGACGCTCCTCCACCTCCAGAAGCCTCCGGCGGGCCGCCTCAAACTCCATGCTGCAGCTGGGAGTCACCAGCTTGGAGGACGGGGCGGTGACGGCCGCTGGGGGGGGCTCGGACTTTGGCAGGGTAGCCACACGCTTGAAGTCCCCCAGGGAGATGGAGCGGCGCGTGGCAGAGGCTCTTGGTTTGGGTCCTTGGCTCTCCATTTCTTGGCAGTGTCCCTTCATGGCCAGAGACTGAGCGGAGCTGGTGAGTAGCTTGTTTAGATCTCCTCAGATGGGAAGGAGAGCACAGCCTGCTCCTACTCCTGCTTCATTCATTAATAAGAGATTCCCAGCAGCTCGGGGACTGTGTTTCGGCCTGCGATTGGCTGCCTGGTCGATGACTACATCGCCTGCCGAGTGGCTGCCTTCCTCTCCGAGTCCTGCCCCCTTTCCTGCTTTCCCCCTCACTCCTGGTGCTCGGTGTGAGAGAACTGCTTACTTCTCCCCCCCCCCAAAAAAAGCAATTGTTTTTCTCTACCTCTCTCTCCACCTCAGCGGTCAGCCCTCCCCATCCACCTTCTTACCTCCCCCCTTCCTTCCCAGCTCCAGCACTCTTCCGCCTCCATCCCTTCCACACGTTGCCCGTAGCAACAAGGCCTTGACGTCAAGTGGCTTGTCTCTGGGGGTGTGCCTGCTCTTCTCTCAGAGCGCTCAGAGCTATTAGCCGCATCAGGGTTGTCTTTCCAACTGCGAGCTCCCTGACGTGGAAGCAGACCTCGGATGACGTTTTTGTAGCTGTTCTGCCCTGAGTGGCAGAGAGTTATGGGAGAGAAAGGTAACAAGATTAAAGGGTGGCCGAGGGTACGTGCGTGTTTGAGCCCACTTCCCAAAACTGGGAGTTGGGGAGGAGGGAGATTGATAGAGCATATTTCACACTGTGCAGGACAGATGACAGCCCATTTGGTGCGTTGCGTGAGCTTTAAAAATATCATATCAGGATAAACACTATAAACAAAGAGGAAAAATTCTATTTGATACTGTACCTCTCCTTGTTGGTAAAAAAAAAACATATTTCAAAACAAGCTTTTTCACTTCTCTTTTTTCTAGAGTTCTCAGAGTTACTGCTAGCTGGTGCCCCTGTGTTTTGATCACTTGCTTCCTAAAAAAGCTTTGCCTTTTCTGATTGGGGAGACACTCTTTCAAGAACTCCCTCTTATTTGAACTTGGAAACAAACTGGATTTTTTTTAACTGAGCTGTGAATAACTGGATCAATCTGTTGCTTAATTAGGAGAAGTTAACATGCTTTTACAAATCTTACCAGAACCAGAAGCCAATTAACCTACCTGTATAGGACTTTGGACAGTGGGAGAAAACAGGAGCACCCAGAAGAATCCTGCACAAACTCCACACAGATAGCACTCCAGGAATTGGACCTATAACTCCAGCGCTGCAAGGCTTGCTGACTAAATTAGTAGAATAATTTCTACTGTTAGTTATAAAACAATGCATATATAACAGCAGGTCCACACATCCTACAGTTAGCAATTTCAAGACCGAATTCACTTTGATATTACAGACTCCAAACCTTTCCGCTTGTTTCCTGGGATCTTTTATTCATGCTACTCTGCCATTAGTCTTGAACATTCTGTTTCTGTTACCTTAAAAGAAACAGAATGTTCCTTTTAAGGTAAAACCTAATTATACCTTATTATATTATTATGTAACCTTATTTTCATAACCTCAATTTTGTGATTTTTGTGAGCTTGCAGAAAAGACATTTCATTGCCAGCAACTACTGCTGCACCCTGTATTGTTGTGCATTTGATAAACTGATTTGATTTTGATTTAAAGCAGAGTACATCTGGGAGTCAGTGTACTGGAATAAAAAAGATATCTTTCTGAGCAAGTGTTCTGTGTAAAAGGTCTCTCAGGTCTCACCATTTTGATTTGGCTCTTTTATGTTCATCTTTTAAAAAAAGAGTAAAAAATTCAATTTTCCACACGCAATTTTCTCATTACTTCCATTTGTTTTCATTACTAGCTTATTCCTGGTTTAAGTGTCCAGACAAACAATCCTGGACAAATCCTGGAATCTTGGGCACACAGGACAATTTAGAGACTCATTAATACTTGCACTTTAATATTTTGTTTGTTAAATCATTCTGTCATAAATGCACTGGGCTTTCATCCTTTAAAAATAAAGATTTCTATGCGTAACTGCAACAGCAATGACCACGCACACAAATATACTTAAAAATTCTTCACTGAAAATATGCTTAAAAACAAACCAAGCAGATAATTGTTATTTTACGCTTCGATTACAGCACAAAACTGTTGTGTGTGCTGTTTCAGTTGAGAATTAATTTTAAAAGGTACATCAAAATTTGGCCACCCACTAATGAGATTGTTGCTAAGCAACAGGCAGGCCATTCCACAGTAAAAACAGTCCAGTTAATCAATCTTCTGCGTTGGCTGAATTAATAAAATAGGGGAAACAAGTGCATGGTTACCATAGCAGCAGACAATAGGAATGTAATCTGAGATTAAAATAAAAATATGACCACTGTAATGGAGAATATCCATTAACAGTGATCACATTTCCTACAGAGCTTTAAAAGCAATTAGGATAAGGGGGTACCAGTAATTAAAAGATATTGCTCAGTCAGCAACACTTCAATCTTTTTGTTTTCTTACAAAGGCTGTTTTTTTGGTAAACGTGACAGGCCAGTCACATGAGTTTCAGGGAGTGTAGTCTCCAACAATCCAACATTAAGAATCCATTCCCCAATTATATAAAAGAGTATTTTCATGTATTTAAGCCTATGTTTCATTATTAATACAATTTGGGATTTTGTCAGACTGTCCAGGAATATAATTGATTGCTTTATGTATGACAGTGATGGGAGACTATCTGAGGGTGATAGATAAAAAAATCTTTTTAACTTCTGATGTGAAGGCTAGTGAACAGGGCATGCTGACAGCTGAGTCACAAGAGAATGACTGCAGTTAGGTTTTTGACTGCTCTGAATGTTTATCTTTTAATACACAGTAAGCATTATATCAGTTGAACAGGGAGCTGATTTTTCATTAATTTTTCATTATTATTTGCTCCTAAGAAAGCCTCATATTTATCTAGGCACAAGGTCCTCTGAAAGGTCTACTGCATTTGAGTGATCACTTTCACATTTTTTTTTCAGTAAAAAAAAAAGGAAAGAAAAAATCTTTATAACAAAACCAGCATGTTGAATTATTCACAAAAAGGATTCAATTTTGTTAAGGAGACAGGAACTATAGTACTTGCCACAAATTAGCACGTCCCCTGCAGGCCATTAAAGTAATGTCTCGTATATTCCCTTACAGAGTTTCTATTGGAAAAATAACAGATAGATATTTCTAGAGGGACTGGCCTGAGTATAACTCTAAATGTTATCACTCCTGCCCCAAGTACAACAATGCTTTGACATCTGTGAGACAAATATGAGCTACCTGCTTGACTATTTGCACGGTGAGGCTGAGCTTCTAGTAACTGTAGTGTTTGTGTCCCCTCTCTTTCCTGCTAGGTATTGCACCGTGGTATTTTTTTTCCTTCATTAAGAGTGCTTGGTCTTGGCAGGGTCCACACATGGCTGTTTTTTCTCTGAGACAACAGTATATTGAATGAATGTGTTATGTGAGACAATGAATAAAGGACGCTATTATTAGCTCTGTGACAATGGAGCTGAGTTATCTCCTGGTGGAATCTATAAGACCGGACGATGCTTGGCGCATCACTTCAAACCTGCCCTGCGGACAGCGGTCCACAGCAATGCCCTTTTTCTCAGTGAAGGGGAACATGTGCAGCATTGCAGATGGTCTGCTTCAGGAGCTGTGAGGAAGGAAGCAGGAGGGCCGTGTTACCCCGCGAGAAGGCAGAAGAATAAAGCAGAAGAAAGCTGACTGCCCCCTCGCCTGTCTGAGCAGCCCTGCCGAGAATACTCTCTCAGCACTGCCCCAGGCGGGGCTTGAGTTTCAATGCCCAGGCAAGGAGCATATCGGCCAGCTTCTTCTCACAAGCAGAAATGTGAAAGCACAGACACATACTGCGGCAAAACGTCTGCTGCATTCCCTACATAGCTAGCTGCAGCTGACTTAAATTTGGGTAACTGTCGTGTCTGTCAGGAGCCATCAAAAACGTACAGTACGCAATTATAAGGCCTGATGTACACTCGTTTGGCATCAATGAATATTTTATCAGATGGTTCGCTGGTCATCTCAAACATTAGCCCTCCAGAGGGAGAGAGAACAGTACGCTTGTGCTTCACGGAGAAAATCAAAGGCTAAATGAGAAATTAAAAAGCTTGACGGAACAACTGAAGTTTACGAGCACCGGGCACTGTTCAGCTTTGGATATTTTTCTCACATTTAAAAAGATATGTATTACATGAGGTTCACTGGAAATAACGCCATCCAGGAATTAGATGATCTGCAAATGTTTGATTATTTAAGTATAATAAGGTTTGGCTTAACCTTCTTGGGAAAGAGGTAGCCTCCTGGGCTTAAGGTGAGGAGTCTGAACCCAGCAAGGTGGAGATGCAAAGGTGGAGATGGGGTGGATTTAGGATGAACATGGAAAACGCAGGATGAAGTGTGTGCAAGACATATATAGCACAAGTCGGTAAGATTTGTAATGTGAACCAGTTGGATGAGATGGGCTTATCTGTCACTATCCCTTGAAAACATGTGTTGAAAACTTCCATGAAACAGCTCAAAGGTCCTCATTTGTAACCTTTCTTATTTCCTCTTTTTCTTAAGTGTTGTCACACTGTGGTTTGTATTGTTGTCATTGAGAGGCATATCAGGACCAGTGTAGTTCGACTTTTCTTAACTGGAGGTTTGCAAAGGACAGCAGTCCTTAAATAGGGAATGTTTGTTGATTTTTACAAATGACCTGAGACACAAATGAAGCTGCAACTTTAAGTTCACAGCCCGTAAGTGGGGATAAAAGCATTACTCTAGAGCTCATTACTCTCAGCGCAGGACATTTATGATTTCAGAATTGTATTACTTAAGGAGAAATCTGTGGTTCCCTTAATAAACAGTAATTACCCTTTTTGACTGTAACCTTTCAGGATCAACACCACACAATTCCAGTGCTCCAGGGTTACTGTAGCTACTGAGCTCTTCAGTAGTAAATGGAACTAATCTGCTTCCCAGATTGAAACCAAGTAATGACATAACGAGACAGAATAGAAACTCTGAAGGACTTTGAGATGAGGGTCAGGGTCAGGCCTTGGTCTTGGACATCCCTGGTCCTGGAAAGCTCAGCAGTTCCCATGTGGCTGTCCAGGATCAAGACACCCCTGGCCTGAACAAATCACCTAAATACACTCTAAAAAGCATCTTCACTCATAGTCAATCTAACTGTTATGTGTCCTAATTCACAGTCCAGACACATTCACTAAACAATAGTGTCTCTGTATACTCACTGGTGCGTGAATCAGTGCTGCTGCAGATTGACATACTGTATACCTGCTGAGTGAACAATAATAATTATGCCTCCTGTTATGCTACACAGACTGGAGATGATTTTCTAATCTTGTAATCACTCGTGGGCGGCACGGTGGCACAGTACTTAGTATTGCTGCTTTGCAGAGCTGGGACTCTGGGTTCAATTCCTGCGCTGCTGTACTGGATGTGTGGAGTGTTCATGTGGTTCCCTCCAGGTGGTAGGGTTTCCACCTCAAGACATACTGGTAGATTAACTGGCTTCTGGGAAAAGTAGCCCTGGTGTGTTTGTCTGTATGTGTCTTGTGATAATCCGATGTCCTGTCCATGCTGCATGCCAGGACAGGCTCTGGCTTCCCTGAATTGGATAATGTGGTTAGAAAATGGGTGGATGGATGCCATCACTAGCCAGGCACAGCACATGTGCTGCAAATGATACAGCTGTAGCAGTTCATCAGTCCAAGTCAGTGATATTTTCCTAAATGTTTCTCATTTCTGTATTATCCCTGGGCAGGCTGAGCAAAACCTGATCTGGGTCTAAATTTCTCATTTCTTTTCAAAATGTTTCTTTGCAGAATGTAGGGATTTATTAAATGTTAGGGGTTGATCAACATTCAGGGACATCAGAAAAAATGTATTGAAATCTATTGAAAAAATGGTATTGAAGAATTATTCAGATATAAACTCTTTCTTTTTTTTTCCAGAGAAAAGAGGCCTTCAGCACTCTCCAGTGAGGCCCCTGTGGAACTCATCAAATGGCAAGGGACTCTGTGTCTTTGAGGAGTGAAAGTGTGTGTCCTTACTGCAAATCTTTGAGCTCTTTATTGCAAGTCTTTACCCTTGCCTTCAAGATCATAGAATTAATACATTTTATAATATATTTATAGCATTCTAAATAGGGCACTTCTGAAGGAGTGTTGAAATATGCATTTTGTATGCTTTCCAGATCCTTCTTCATCTCTTAATCATACCAGCTATAAAGTGGGAAAGACCTACACTCTCCCACCCTCCACTAACTCATAACATGTTTTCCAGTAATTCCCCTCATTGTGACTTTGTAAAAGTAGAGGTATAACATTGTATGAGGAAGAATTTAAAATTAATTGGTTTTGCAAACATACTTTGCAAAACCCTTTGACCCTTTTCCATTGCGAGCAGAGGTATAAGCTGCCTAATGGGTTTAAACATGCCTGGATAGACACAGAGAAGGACTGGTATCCTTCCAAAATTGTTGCACTGCCTGCAACACTGGTGATGATACAGGGGCCTGTTACAGCTAAGTCTCGGCCTCCAGATTTGTTTTACTGTGTCCTCTGAGAGCTAGGCTTACAGAAGATTTACTGAAGAACAGACTTTGGCACAGAAGTCACCAAGAGCCCAGAACAAACCCATACTGCTGCCACACCCCTTAGTCTGTGCTGCATTTTGGCTTGAGCTCAGGTGTTCTAGCAATATGAGTGTTTTCTACATGGAGAGTCAGTATTGTAGCAGAATAGACAGAAAGTGAGCTCTCTCTCTCTCTCTCCCTGCCAAAGCATTCACTGGGCTGCAGCATTCTGCTAGATGCAATGTAGCAGAGAGAGATATCAGCACTTATAATAGCATCTTGCAAGGTACGCAGATTCTGAGGTCACATGCTGTATGTGATATTTATATTGCAGAGCTCCTATACCTCACCCTTTAGACCACACTGGAGACTAACTTCAGCACATGCACATTACTGAACAGTGTTTTACTTCTAAAAAGACAGCAGGTATAGTGCTCCTAGAATTAGAATAGATTGAAATAGGAGCTCCCCCTCTCTGCCACCATGACTCCCTAGACCAGTGTTTCCAAACTTATATTGGACCAGGGAACCACATCATTGAGGTCCTTTTCCTTTAAGGACTGTTTAAAGGGAATTGGGTCCATAGCAAGAATGCAATTCAGTACTTAAGGTTACAGCAGGGACTGCTTAGCATTGCTTAGTGGCCTGTGGTGGTCAGAGGACGAGGGCTTGAGAAATGTGGCCCCAGACTACATTATAACTAATCAAACAGAGCAAGACTTGTGAGCTCTGTTCCCTGGGCTCAATATTTAATTACACACTCCTCCCACTGTAACTCAGACAGACATCTGTGCTTATACTAGCTACTTGCAGCATATGTTAGTGCTGAGTGCACATCTTGTATGTGATGTTTAGCTCCATGAAGTTGGCCTCCCTACAAACAGTACAATGAAACCCTTTGCATTTGTTTGTGCTCTGTCTGTGCTGGTTTGTGCTGTTGAAAGTAGTGCCTCAGGTTTTTGAATTACCCAGATAAAGCACCTTCTTTTTCCAGGGTGTGACGTCACTCAGCTTCCCTACAACAGTGACAAGAGTCAGAAAGAAAGAAAAAGCACCTCTGATGGCACACATCAGCACAGACGGAACATTAATGAATGACACTGGCTTGGCTCTCCTTGGATGTTATGTGCCCTTCTGGGAGGTGGAGTGCAGAGGGTTGCCAAATTCACAGAGCTGGAATGTTTGTATTGGAATACTTTACCAGAACTCCACTTTGACTACCTCTCCTGCCCATGAGAACTAACAGTTCCAGTGTTTTATAAAGATGTTTAAGAGAGATTTGGCATTTAAGTCTCTTGTTTCAACACTGTACTTACAGTAAAAGAGCAGAGACCCCAGGGTATATTTTAAATGCTAGAAGCATGCCATTATCAGCACACATCTTATATGTGATGATGCCAGCACATTTTCACCCTATTGCTTTCCTTGCACTGGCAGTAGAAATGTTTTTTTTTAAATATATATATACAGAGGGAAAGCCAGCACTTTGAGCCCAGTAGCATTTCTCCTTTCCTACTTTAGTATTTATTTAGCTTAATGTTATATAGCAGAGAGAGATAGCAGAGCTTCAAGTAGCTGTTTACAACATATGCCTTTTATCAGAGCACATTGAAGCCCTCTTCCACCACACCTCTGACCTGACAAGATGCTAGCAATGTTATTTATTTTTTTTGCAGACAGCAGGAAATACTTGGGGACCTGGTGCTGTAGACTTTTCCGCTAGGCTACACCTATAAAGGAGGCATTAGATCACTGTATATTTCCATTTTCACCTCTTCAGAACAAAAGAAAGTGTTTCAAAGAAGAGGAAGTCCCCTCTGGCCCATCTGGTGCATAAAAGCTTATGATCCCAGCATCTCATCCAGGTGTTTGTCCAAAGAAGCCGGGCTACAGTCTTCAATGACATGGTTGGACCACTTGTTCCAAACTCCTGCCAGTCTTTGGGAAAAGCACTTCCTCTTCTCATTTATAAATTCACAGTCTCCACTCTGTTTCACTGTTCATACTTAAGATGCTGAATGCAGTCACCTCCTACTTTCCTCTGTTCGAGACTAAAAAGGTTTGGATCTTTCAGCCTGTCATTGGGAAGAGCCATTTAAGTCTCAGAATGCATCTGGTTGCTCTTTGTGATTTTATTCATATTCAAATTTTTATCTGACAGCTTTGGTTAATCATTATGTGTTGTGTGTATTACTACGACAATGCTCTTTTTATTACTACTGCTATGGATTTTACCATTGTCCTTAGACATATTATTGTCAAGACTTGTCATTTTTAACATGTTATCAGATGTAAAGGCACATCACCAAATATCCTCAGTCTCTCCATATTTGTCTTGTAATTTCTTTCCTATTTGCTTATTTTTAACTGCAAAAAAAAAAAGATGTTTGATACTTGATACTCAGTTTTGGGGAGTTGAAAAGAGGAATTCCAATGTCTTATTGGACTAATAAACATGAATACATATGTTTTCCCACATGCTTGTTCCTCTTTTTCCTATTGTAAAAAGATCACTAAATGTATTAATCAGCCCATTGGCACCAGCCAGTACTGATGTGAAAGAGAACAGGGATAGAGGCATGGAGGGATGGAGGCAGTGCAGAGAGACACAAGGAGGGGAAATGGAAAGAGCTAACAGTCTCAGAAGGATGGAAGGGATCTCCGCTCTCGCTTATGGCCAGACCATCTTGAGCACACCTGATCTCGGAAGCGAATGCTTTTTTGTATATCATTATCATCAATGTTGTTTTTAATACCACTGCTAGTATCACCATCTTGCCGTTGTCTTCAGTGGTTTAATCCCTTTAATTTAGAGATTAAAAAGCACATCCATTCTCCTCAGTCCCCCCCCCCCCAATATAACCCTTGTAACGTTTTCACTGTTCGCTCATATTTTGAACTGTAAGAGTACAAGAAAAAAGCCATTTATTTGATACTCAGAGTTTGGGAGAGTTTGCAGGATTACCTTTTAAAAAAAAGGTCTTTGACTGTAAATGATCAAGCTATAGATCTAGGCACTTTTTGTCAAGCAAAGGACACGCAGGTCTGGAAGGACACTACTGATTTGCCATATGGCCCAGACCTGAAACAGGGTTCTTCCCATTCTCTAAGAAAGCTGTTTGCGCGAGACAGTAACATACAAGCCATTTTTATACACTTCTGTGATGACTAAAGTGTCCCACAGCCTAAGTTAACATAATATTTCAAATAAGATCAAATGGATATAGCAAGAGCAGTGATCCCTGTTTAAAGAAAAACAAAGGAGACAGATGAGTTGTGGGAAACAGAGCAGAGGAAACAGGTCGAAGAGAGATAAGTTTTAATACAAAGGCATCTCAACATGATAAACCCCTGAGTCACCACAGAGAGACAAGGTAAGTACCGTCTGGAGCCCTGGGCACTCACACCCTGAAAGAACAGGGGAAACCGCAGAGAACACAGGCAATCACACAAGAACATTAGTACGGCGAGAACCTTCTACAGTCACATTTTATCCAAATATATAAAACTTGACAAAACCGAAGAGATTTTTTTTTTTACAAACATGTCCAACAATCTGCTGAAATGGTTTTGCGATTGCCAAGATTGGAGGGCAAAAACATTGCGAAACCCATTATGCTAAATGACATTCCCAGGTGTGCTGACAGGCATCTAGTATTGAACAAAAAATACACCCAGCAAAAATATAAAACTGCAGAAAAAAAAAACACAGACAGAAAATGCAAGTGACACCGCAATGATGCAGAAGATTTATGGTTCCCAGCAACCTTGACACTACAGTGAATTTTCATATTGTGTTCTTATGCTTTGAGTATTTCTTGGTTTATTAAGAGGGATATTGTGTTTCCTGCACAATGACTTAGGATCCTATTAGAACCTATTAAAGCAGAAAGACTGTGATGGCTTCAAATTGGAATGTGGACCACCTGCTGGTCAATAAACAGAACACTTCTCAGCAAAGGTCTGCCCAGGAGGAGAGTACAATCCTGTTTTTTTGACCGAACCCTGAACGGACTGTACGGGAGTGTGCTTACATTGTTTTGGAATTTTTCGGCATATTTGTTTTAATTTGAGATTCAAAACCTGGGCATAGGTCCTACACCATGCAATTTGTACAAGCAGGGTGTATTTATGTGCCCTCATTTTGCCACAAAAGAATAAGCCAAAGTGTGGTTTCCTAAGAAGTTTGGATTAACCAGGGGTGTCCCCAGTCAGTTCTTTAATTAGAGCATTTGAACAGCTTCTCCCAGCTCTTCAGGTACTGCAGCTTTAAAGAGGCCTAGAAAACCAGCAGCCAAGATTGAGGACCCCTGATCTACAGTGAGCATCTCACCACCTGGTTCCCCTGTACTCTTGTATGAAAACTGACTATGAAAGACTGACCACTTAATATTTAAATAGATTCTCCAGGAATAACAGTTTAGGTGGCATATGCAATATTCAGTCAACAAAGAAAACCCCATCTGTATCTGTGACCAAATTATCTTTAAAATGCAATTATTTATTATTCTGGTCTCCAGCAGTTTACTGGAGTTCTCAATGAGTAGTACAATCTTAGAGTGTCACTCCCTATCCCCTTTTCAATTTTAGCAGAGAATTTGGGAAAAAAAATTCAATTTTTACCCCTGAAACTTTTCTTACTGTTGCTTAATCTCTTGTGCCCAAAATTCCACATGACTTTTTTTTTATAAAATAGGAAAGGAAAAATGGCAAAATTAACACAGTCCAAGAAAACCAGAAAAAGGAACATAGTATCTAAACATGCCATTAGCTGACTCATGGACAACTGTACATCAAAAACACTCTTACAAATGTTTTTCGAAAGAATGCCATTTCTGAGCCACAGATGCCAGCACATTACCAAGCACAAAGCCCAGGGTAGCACACAAGACGCAACACAAAATGTAAGACATGCCTTATGCTTTTGAGTCTTGGTTTCTGTCTCTTTATGCACTGAAAAACTCCAAGTATAAATACGGATATTTTACCACCAGAATCTGAAAGTGATTGCAGGCACAATACAGTAGCTTCTACGCACAGTGTCTGTGTGGTTATCTGGTGCACGTTAGTGGACCTCATGTGGTTCTATAAATGCTTGAAGTAAAGTGCGTTCACATAGGTTTTCTTTATTCAGATCCAAGAACCCCAGCTGTAATCCTCAACCAAAAACGAACACGGAAATACAAACACAACCGTATGAATACGTAGAGCTGGCTATTTTTTTAAGAAAGAAATACTGATGTGCAATTTGTTTCTAAAAAAAAGCAACCCTGAAGAATAAGCAGATGTTCATGTGGTCAACACACCGCTTGGCCAACTGAGGCATGCTACGGAGACACACCGTCCTTTACAGATAAATACAACCACGCTGCAACCCCTATTCTGCCACTGACAAAGCCCAATAAAATGACAAGAGTCCATCATGCATCAGCTGCTGGAAGGTCATTGCCCATGGCGCCGTATCCATAGCGACCTGGCTTGTGCCATGCCCTACAGGGAGGTGGAGGGAAGTTTCTTCACTCTCCTCTGAGCCAGAATGGAGGCCTCGATTGGCTTGAGCTGTGGTGTGGGTTTGGAGCTCTTGAGCGCCGAGTATGTTGCTGCCATTGCGCCCTGTGAGGCAAAGCACAATGCAACACAGGGCTCAGTTAATCAGCTGAACATTACAAGTGTTGAAATGACATTTTTCAGGAACTTCTTAAGGTATCAGCTGGGTCAGGAAACTTAAGATCCTGTAGTTTGTGTCTGGACAGGATGTTCAGTTAATGAAATGGTCACTCGCATAGGCCAAATTACTGTATATCACTATCTCCTGCCTCTAACCCCCTGATTTCTTATTCAGACCTTGCTATTCTGATACAGAACACATGACCTTTAATTACCCCTCAAAGTCAGAGGACAGGAATACAGGAGTATAGAAAAGTAAATCTATTGCAAGAGTGGTCAACCCTGGTCCATAGTGTTTTAAAAAAAGATGATTTAAGGGTGATCCTCAAGACGTCCGCTTCCAACACTGGCTACCCCTGATTTTTGGGGGTTTACTGATAAACTAGCACTGATATACAACAGTTCTCAAAAACATGCAAGAACCTTAAAATTAGCATGAGGTAAACAGTCTTAATCCCTCTGTAACCAATACAAAAAATAAATGGTGTAAAAACCACAGTAATTCACGTGTTTCTTTTGGTAAACAAAAGCATTGAGAGCAACAGCAAATGCTGAAAGGCACTCAGCTAAATTTAAACCCTGCAAAGGTTATTTTTCCAGATTTTAAGGTGTTTCTGCAGACACTGTCCTGTGGAAGCTGCAAATCCTGGGAAGAAGGTACCTTGACTAGCTGGGCATCCTGGTGCTGTAGCTGGCTCTGGGGCAACTTGTCACGGTGGACTATCCAGGAATGCTTCAGGACCTGCTTGGCTGTCAGGCGTTGGTGAGGGTCTATATGCAGCATTTTGGACACCAGGTCCTAAGGAGGTCCCAGATAGACAAGAATCACTGTGCAGCTCTTTGTTATTATTATCTGATCATTACAATTAATTTATCTGGAACTGGCTTGAAGGCAGCTTACTAGGGACTCTGCAATTCTTATACATGAACATTTGGTTAAAACTCCCATAGTCTACTTCAGCCTCAACAAAGAAACAAACACCACTGGGCCTGAGAGGAACAATACATTAAACATTCTACATTTTAATACATTCTTGTCTTTACGCAAAAGAACTGTGGCCTTTTGTGATACATACAGTAGCTATATGGCTGAGGTATCTGCCAAGACAGAGCCCCAATGTGGAGAATTAGGGCTGTCTTCTCAGCAAAACATTTGTATCAAAACTCTTGGAAACATTTTGAACAAACAAGGTGTTGATGCTGATTCAACATTTGGCTGAAAGATATTCCGGTATCATCTGTGACCTTTATGTTTTCCATTCTTAACCCACTCTTAATTCAGTCTCTCAGCCCCAATTCACAATTAGAACTAATAAAAGCTTGTGTGGCTTATAGCCACAGTCTACTGTATGCAAAACCCATCAGTTAAAAATAAAGTCAGATGAAAATCCCATGAGAGCTTCTGAAGGCTCACCTTGGCAGCATCTGAGATGGTATCCCAGTTTCCCCCTTTGAGGTTGAAGCGCCCACTCCCGATACGTGACAGGATCTCACTGGGGGTGTCATCGGGACCGTTCGCAAAAGGGGTACACCTGGAGAGAGAGGGGTGTCAAGGTCAGCCGGTTCACAGTACCCACCATTCGACCTCATAAAGCAACTACAGTACAAAGAAGAACAATTTTCCTATTACAGAACTAGAGCCTGGAAGAGCAGAACCGAATTAGAACCATCTTTATTCACCAAGTACATTTCAAGGAATTTGCTCTGGTGTACATGATGCTGTAAAAACATTTTACATACTGTATACCATACACAAACAAGACTCCTGGACATCATTAAGATAGTGCACATACAGTATAACTAAGAACACGTATCACTTCATCTATGTTCTACTGAGATCACAGTTATCACAGCCTACTGTATATGGCGCTTTCTGTTCTGAAAACTGTGATTATCTCCAAAGCAAAATTCATGTCATACAGTGTTCTTACATAACACATGTGTAGTCTGATTCCCAGGGTGCTTTGCAGATAGCACCCCAGAAATTGCACTTGGGGCTCCAGCACTGTGAGGCTGAAATGCTCTTATTATTGAATTATCGACTCACAAGGGCTGCCAGTCCAGCACGGCTTTCAGAATCCTGGCCAGAGGCCTCGAAGCTAACGCACTGTGGATTCCACTCACCCAGCCAGCATTGTGTACAGCAGTACTCCCAGGCTCCAAATGTCACACCCCTCATCGTAGCCCTGGCGTTTCAGGACCTGAGCAATTGAAGAAAAACAAAACGTACAGAAGAAGCAGGTTTTATTTCTACCAAACTTTCATTTAGTACTGAGAAAGCCGGGCTGGTCTTGACAGCACAAGACTATGCTGTACTATTGCAGCTGGGTTTACAAGACCTTGCAGGCTCCACTCTCTTCGCATTTTATTCTTAATTGAAATTGTTGCACAGCATTTTAAAACCCCCTGCTCTCCCCCATCATCTTAAAAAATAAGAAATGGGTGATTTATCCATCCACTCGTTTTCAGAATTGCCGAAAACACATGGCAGGACTGAGAAAGACTAATGAGAAAACTGCTGCTGCCCTGAATGACACACCTCAGGACTTCACAGGGGCAATTTCGAACAGGCAATCAGACTAGCCACTGTCCTTGGGAAGTGGGAGGAAATTGATGCAGGCTCAGGGAGAACTGTACAGATGGAGCCCTCAGACTACAACTGAACCCAGGGCCCAACACTGCTAACTGCTGAGCCACTGTGTAATCAAATTAAACAAATTATTAGTTCTGACTGAGTAATTGCAAGCTCATCTGGATAGAAAACTGGGAAAGCCCTGCGGCTGAACGTGTGTGAGAAGACTACAGGTTTCAATGGCTCTGGCTTGTACTTGTTCACTATCTTTACAGTTAACAAGCCATGTTCTGAAAACAGGACCACACCCCCTTCTGTTGTGAACGTCAGCTCCAGGCAATTACAAACGCAACTTAACTTTTACTCCTCCTCATCCCCTCTTCACCTGGCAGCACCAAGAGAATAGGTGAGTTCACCTGCACCAATTTTTCGTCACCTGCTCCAGACTTATTTACTGTATTTAGACCATATGTTAATATTCTATTATGCATTCCAATGTTTTTGTACATTATATTGTACTGTTTTAGGTTTGCTTACTGTAGGCTTCCTTTCAGTGTTGGTGTTTCTTCTAAGTGTAACCTCAGTACTTTCTGACCCTTGTTGTTTGTTGTTTCAGTTGTTTAGTATTATGCTGAATTATTGTATTTACAGACTTTAGTGTTTGCATGTACAGCTTACTGAGTGTTTTGAACAAAAAAGGTGCAATTTATTCAATCAACCATTCAGAACACAGCCTGCCAATTTGCAGCATGATGTCTTGCAGCTTGAGGTGTGTGGCCCAGACACACTGACCTCAGGGGCGACGAAGTTGGCGGTGTAGCATGGGGTCATCAGTAGCCCATTCTCCGCCCTCAGCTGCTTGGCGAATCCAAAGTCACAGATCCTCAGGGACTCTGGGTTCCCCGACTCATCCACATACAGGATATTGCTGGGCTTCAGGTCTCTGTGGACCACCTGTAGATTGAGGATTGTGGGACACTTTAACTCAGAAGGCAGTCCTGAGACAACCATCTCACACCTGCATCTTGGCGGCTTCCACAGACAGGTTAAAGGTTAACTTGGAGGATACAACTCTGTACTGAGATAAAAACTAAAGACAAGTGCAGACCAGGAGGGAGAAGGATGAAAGGCCTTTTTCTTAATTTTTCACTTGCTGCAAGAGGCTGTTGTGCTCCATGAAGGGCTCATCCTCTCCATAGAACTATAGGTCCTCCAACTTACCCCCTGTGAGTGCAGGTACTCCACTGTCTTGGTGATGGTGTAGAGGACGGCGCTGGCCTCGCGCTCAGAGAAGCACTTCTGTTTCAGGATCCTGTCCAGCAGTTCCCCGCCCCTCATCAGCTCTGTCACCAGGTACACGTACTTCCCATTGTCGTACACCTGTCGCCAACAGCACACCGCCTCAGTGAAGACGCCCCACCGGCACTCTGGCCTCGGGCACGAGCCCTCTTTTCCAGCCATGTCTGGCCAAAAGTTTCTAAACTTTTGTTAGTTGTGCTGCTTCAGAACACTTCCCCATGGTTAGCCACCTCTTCTTTCTTAATCTCTGCTGAAACATCTTTTCAGTGAGTTTCTTCATTTTGTTGTCAGTAATGATGTACCATAACTAGGCGGTATCTACTTTTCAATGACAAGATCCCAAGTATGGTTTTGAAAGTAGAGGTTTCACATCAAAGGCAAGTGATTTCAAACAGTAAACCTTGCACATCATTTACCTTTGATTTAGAAAGGTTCACATTGGTCACGCTATAGTGAAATGTATACAACAGAAAAAAAGCAGTGTTTAAAGGCATTAGTATTCTAAAATCATGTGTAATACTTTTACAGTTGTGTAAGGTTTTTTAGTGCCTGTGAACTGGCCAAGTTGTTCAGTGCCCTCTGCTGGCCTGCTAGTAATAACATTTTTCCTTCCACCAGAGTTTTTAAAAGTGCACAGCAAGCACTCAAGAATCAAGTCAATCCTCAGTTCAACCAGTGTGAGACGCCCACTCACGTCCTTCAGGGTGATGATGTTGGGGTGCTGCCCGTATCTCAGGAGGATCTCAATTTCCTCTGAAGGGTCCGTCCTACTCTTATCAATCACCTGAAAGTAAATTCAAGGTGGAGAATAAATGCTCATTATCCAATCAGAGATGCTGGAACATCACTTGATGGAACCTTCACTCTTCCTGGTGATGAAATGTACAGTCCTGTTGTGGGTGGTGTTGTTTCATAAGGCTCCTTTTTATCCTGAATCAGTTAAACATGACTATTTTTCTTGTGTTGAAAAGTGTGTTAAACGCTCTTTAAAACGTTTATAACAAGAGGGATGGCAACAACCATGTTTAATCAACCCCAGCTGTCAGTGATCTGTAATCATTCCTGACATCATTTCCTCCCATAAAAAAGACTATAAATACTGTATTACATGTCTCTCTTGCATATGTCTTCTGCATCCTTTCCTCCGGCCCATCTCCACCTCTGCAGCCCCTTGCTCACTCCTCACTCTAGAGAGATGTCCCAGCCTCCTTATCCTCTGGCCAGGAGGTTATCCCAGCCAAATCCATTGTCACCAAGACACTCTATAAACCTTTCAATATGCTTAAGTCTAGCGTGTTATTCCCAGCGAAATATAGCCTGCTGAAACACTAAAATGTTTCTCTTTCCAATCTATGGAAATCTATGGAATTCTGACAATAGATGTTTTTCATTTTGACTCAGGCCTTTTTCTAATTATGCCAGAGGTGAAAAAGAATCCTCCCTATCCTCGCCCTCACCTGGAGCAAAAAAAGAATGCTAATAAAGATAAAGCACTCTTACCTTGGCGGCGTATTCTGTGTTCGTGGCCTTGTGAACGCATCGCTTGCACACGGAGTAGGACCCCATTCCGATATCCTCCTTCACAACGTAGCCGTCTGTGAAATGAGTGTTCTTCCCGTGCAGCTGCTAAACGAAATCACAAACCACAGAGCTCTCACACAGCAGACGTGGCCACGTACAACTTCAAAGTTGGGCATTTAAAGTTGAAAGAAACACCTCAAGAAACAGTGAACAGTTCTTGAATTACTTCATGAAACAGTTTGTTGTTATAAATTGACATGTACAGTATTTCCACCTTCTGGCTAAATGTGGCAACGCTCTGCTCCGATGGCACTTGAGAAGCTACAGGATTCCCAGTAATATTCTTTAGCTGCAAAATGGGCTGTGGACCATGCAATGTCTCTTCCACCAATTCCTTCCCAAGCAATAATTCCTGATGCAGAGATTTAGCTGGATACTTATTAATTTCTACGTTTTTGTACCTTTCTAATGCACGTTTAGGCTAGAATGCCAAAACATCTTCAATGTGATTCATAAGTGATTCGAACTCAGGCCTGAATTAAATACAAACTAAATAAAAAATCTCAGCAGCATATTCCAACTTCAAAACTTGACCGAGGTGTACTATTTTCCAGGTGTTTCCTAGGACTACACAAAGGGTTTTAAACGTTTTTAAAGTTTTTAAAGTTTTAAAAACAAAGGGACACTTTTCACTATGAGCCTTGTACCGTGTGAAATCAATGCTCTTACACAGCTATTGTACTTGATTCTGCATGTTCCTGCTGTTCTGCTTTGAAAGGTTAACAATTAATAACTGCATTGTCTATAATAATTACAGATGTCAGTCTCAGTATATGCCTAAACTGGGATCTTTATTGATAGGGCTTTTTCAAAGATTCTCCAGTCACAAAAGGTTGAAAACAGCTAGCATGACCATGGAAACCATTAAGCCTTACATGAAGTATCCTTAAGCTGTGAATGGTTGATGAGTCTTAAAATTGGCTGGGCCTTTAACTGAATTAATCTGTACACAATTTACATATGAGAGCTGCTCTAAAGATTTCTTCCCAACCTATAGGTTGTGCCTTGTTTGAAGGGTGTGAGACTGAAGCCCCTGAAAGACAGCAGACCTGCACTACGGGGTGTGAGGTCAGATGGACCGGTTCCTCTTTCCCTTCTTCCTCCAGCATCCCTGTGGCAACGAAGCTGAAACCTCGAAAGAGCTGGTGTGCGCCGGCGCTGGGCGGGACCCCCGGGGAATCTGCAGGGCCAACAGAGGTGAACTTTGAACCCTGGCCTGGCTGGGCTTCACTTCTAGGTGTTTAACTCACATTCTCACTCTGTCCGCACCAATACCAGTAACAATAACATTTTAATGACTTTCAGTTATTAAAATGACCCACAACAGACACGGGTAGACCCACAGTAGTCAAAAAATACATTTTTCCCATGCAATGTGAACACTCAGGCTTGCAAATGTTTACTACTGTCCCATAATATCAATTAAGTGCTACCCAGTGTTAGTTTAGGATGAGGAAATAAGCTGATGGAAGGTGACGTGATTTTCTAGCACAAGTATCCTAGTACTTTATGTAGATGAAGTCTTAGGAACAGGTTAAAAAAAGTGATTTGCAATAGAGTTTTTGCAATAGAGTTTATAACTTCTGAGATTTTAAATGTTAATACATTCTGGTTAGCGAATAAGTATTCCTTTAACACCACCCAAATTACTTTGCTACTTTGGGTTTGCAGTCAAAATAGTCTCCTTCAAGTATCTTTTTTTCTTCAAGAAAAATACAGAGAATGCTGATGACACCACATGGCTTGTTCAGTTATTGCATTCACAGAGCTCCACAATCATCTAATTCCTGTCCGAGATCACCAGTTCAGATTTCAGAAAGTGCTTCACAAATCATACATTACAATTCTACATTTTTAGGTGCTCTAGGACCCCAGGAGTTAATATAATCCTCTCTTTGTGTGCAGAAATTACATCTAGTTTTTCTGAAGAACAATAACAGAAGTACATCTATTGGCATCAATGTCAAGGAAGAAAAAACTGCATGCAGAGCAATTTGATCAACTTCAGCTTTGACCAGCAGCAGATTCTTATACAAATTGTACTGGCAAAGTGGAAGATTTTCATATTTAATTTTATTTTTAAATTTGCCTCTCTTTGTCAATTTGCTTAAAAATAAGGATTCCCCCTGCAGTGTGACCTGCCCACAGTGTTCAAACATTCAAACATTCACCTTTGGGCGTCCGCGAGGTGAACTCGGAGTCAAAGTAGAAAGTGTCGTCCGGCCTTGCCACAGCGGGCTTGAACGGGGGCTTGATTTCTCGCCGAAAAAGCTTCTAGAAGACGGGGAAGAAAGCCACCGCACAGCTGTATTTCTGAACTTAACAGATATGATTCCAAGCTTTGGCACCTTGTTTAGACACATCTTTTCATGTAAAGCGCTGGGGGGGGAAAAAAATGTGGCAAAACTGGTCTGCTGTGTAAGCCTGTGCCTCATCATGGTACCAACGGCATCAAATCAGTAGAAATCTGTGACAAGCTCCTAGAGTCAGGACATAACTGCCAGCTGTACTTTGCTGTTGTATAGACTGGAGATTCTGAGTCTCAGGTCAGGGCTTGGACGTGGATATTCGTCTACTTTTCACCCATAATGCCATCAACACTCACAGCTGCAGTTGATTCAATCTGGCAAATTACCTTCCCTCCGGAGGTGCAGCATGAGATAACAGTGCTTAAGGCCAGCCAACTTTAAACGGACAAGTGGAATTAGGGCAGAGAGGCAGGATGCAGTTGTGGTGTTATTCATGGCCTGATGGTACTTTTTAACCCTAATAGATGTCTTTACTGTATTAGTTGAAATAGTTTTGTATTAAACTCTCCCTGTATCCACCCACCCTTTATGAAAAGCAGGTTGCAGCAATCCAGAGTATGTTGATTTCGTACCAGAGCAGGAATAAGGTACAGGATGATTTAAGGGGTGTTCTCATGCCATGAGAGACACATGGCTTGAGCATGGGTGTGTTGGGGTGGCAACACTGAGCCAAGTCAATTAACAATTGATTGTAAATTGGGGGACATGAAATCAGAAAAGTAACTGGCAATATTAAATTTAAAATTAAATGAAAGCAGATGCTTACATTCCAGTCTATTGTGGAGAAGAAAGCATGGCGTTTAATCTCCTCTGCGCCATCAGGTCCAGAGCCTGCAATCGATGATTTAATGAGATTAATTCATGAAATGACTTTGAGTGGAGTGTCCAGAAAAGCACTCTATAACTGTAAGCAATTAATGATTATTATTAATATGTCCCACAGACCATTATACAGAATGCGTGATGCACTTGTGTGTGATGGAACAAAGATTTGAAATTGTGCATGGCTTGACCCACTTAAGTTTTAATAAAAGTCCTATGTGACCTGTACTGGTGAAGAAAAGTAAAGACTGAACCTTGTATTATCTAACTCCACATGTTGCTCAAATGACTTCAAATTTAGCCCTCGTAATGAAATAACTACTATCGTGGTGCTACTTTGCCTCCAGTTCTTTAACCTGAAATGTAAAACATTCTTCTCACAGGATGAGGTTTGATATTGGTTAACTGGGAAAAGTTACCTAGTCTGTTGGCTGGGTTCCTTTTGAAGAGGGCTCTCAGCAAACTCTGGGCCTCAGCGCTCAAGAACTGAGGCATTCCGAGTTTTGCCCTGCAGGATGGGTGATAAAAAAAGAAGACATTTGAAGCCATTCACCTGAAAAGAAGTACTAAAACATTAGAACTCCATTAATCCATTAACCAAATTCCTGAGCATTTTTTAGCAGTAGCTATTTAGGTCCAAACCAAATATTAACTAGGAATGCACATAATACATACTTTAATGCTTCATAAAAGCTGAGTTTAAGAAATAAACTAGAGCCTGATAGCAAAAGAACCAAGACCTGCAACAATGAAGAAGGAATACTGAATACAGCTTGTGTTAAAATACTTGAGCAACAAAAGCAAGAATGAATGAAGAGATCTGTGTAGGAAGATAACTGGTACGCAGACAATAAAAAGGGAATTTCTTTATTCACTTGTTTATACTATTTCACAGAAAAGACATTTAGAACAAAATCCTAAATTTCTTTTGTTACACCTGCCCATATTTGGAATAGCCTACTGTGTATTATTCACGTGTCGGCCTGCTGCCACAAACCCTGCGATTCACACATGGGGGAATAGGGGAATGTTTACAGACTCCTCTCACCCACCAATCTTCGAGCCACTAGTCTTGTAACATGGCCCTGACACCACAGCCCTGTTCCGGAGATTGAGCGCTGACTGGAGGAGAGGTGTGTCCCTCACTGGTCCCATATGCTTGCAAGTACCCGGGAGGCCAGGGGAAGCTCTACTCTACATTTTGATGTGCCAATACTTGGAAAATTCCTGTCATGGTCACATGACTCAGGCTTGAACCCGGGATCACAGAGCTCAACCTTTACTAGCTGAGCCATCTGGGGCACCCCATGGTAATCCCTATGCTTCTAACCTTCAACAGTCTGAACTGAAAGGCTATATAGCACGGTACAGCAGCACAGTCGCCATTAACTAATGCAGACCAACAAAATAATCCACTTTCATAGAAACAGCAGTACTGACTTGAGAATGAGGTTCATGGTCTCCTTCCGATCCTTTCCTTGAAATGGTAACGATCCTGTGAGCATTTCAAACTGAAAAAGACAGACAGATTCAGCTCTGCAATGGAACTGCAAGACTGAACCAGAAAACAATTGCGAACACCGATGTCTAGATGTCTAAAAGTTACATTTAAGTCACATTAACACAAATTTAAAATAAGAATCTACCCAAAACCAACCAATGCCCCTAATAAAAACATTCAAACCTAGTGTTAGCATAAAACCTACAGTACATCTACAAATGTCTGTTCTCCTAAAATTATTCAAAAGCCAAGCAAAGTCAAGAGGATGGACTGCAAAGGGTGTATCATATTTACTTACCATTAGTACCCCAAATGACCACCAGTCAGCGCTGTGTATGTGGCCCTGGCGGTTCACTACTTCTGGTGCCATGTACTCCACGGTGCCACAGAAAGAGTAGGCTTTCTTCTCATGGTCAATGGCTTCTTTACACAGGCCAAAGTCTACAGACAAGAACAGGACTTACAGGACTCACTCTTCTGCAGTGTGACCCCAAGCTTATCCAGCCATTGTCAGTAAATCACTTATCCTGAGGAGGAGTATGGATAGGCAGAGTCTATTCCAGAAGCAACAGCATGCAAGGAAGGTGCTAAGAATCCACAACAGCTCTTCCTCCTGCATGGGACACCAGTCCATCACAGGGCAACACAGCCTTATAGAAAGTCTGTTTTCTTTAAGTGTGGATTCTGTCTTCTCCCCTGAAGACTCCATGTGTAATGGTTCTAAATAAAGCTTTTGCTGTCTACACCAGGACCTGATTAAAGTCCTTGTAGGCCCTGGGCACTTCTGTTTCCTAATGCCCTGTGGCGGAGGCATTTTTACAGGTGTAGTCACTATGGGTAGAGGGGTGATTTTGAAAATGATTTTGAATTTTTTTTCTGGATAGCCTACTCTAGCTATATACTGTACAGTATATATTCAAGAGCAGACCATTTTTATCATACAAACAAAAAACAGACAACATTTCTTTACAGTTCCTTCAGTTTTCATAGGCCTTAGACACAGCACACAGCGTACAACAGACAATACACTGCGTCTACTGTGCCTACTGGATAATGTGGACCTGGTCTACCCAGAGACATTCTAGGGTCAAAGGAATGTCCTACCATTACAGGGTGACAGAAAACTTTTAGTCCTGAACAGCAAAGGCTATGAAGAGACCTGACATAAGTACTCAAAATCCTCAAAGGAAATAACAAATTTAATCCACTGAACTTGTTCAGAGTCAATGAAACACAAACCAGAGGACACAACTGAAAACGATGGATATGTGCTTTTAAAAATAAGAACAGGAGGCAAAAGGTTGTGGGTCCAAGAACAAGCTACTCAGCCATGCTGTTCGATTGTTGATATCCTTGCTAGCAGATGGATGGTTCATTTAAAACTGACTTCATATTATTTTATAGATGCTCATTGAAATTCTGGAGTATTCTGAGGTAATGGTTAAGAAATGTTACATTAGCCAGCAATAAAATCTTAAGACTGTTCTGGAACAACCATTTGATTTGCTTCAGGTATCTTACGGTCATCAAATAAATCAACCAGCAACATTATAAACAACTGATAAAATTAATCAACAGAGCTCACTGAAATGGTTAAGAAAAATACAAAACGCAGATAAGTAAAAAAATGCACATGTTCTTGGAATATACTGTACAGAACAAAACAAGACAAAAATTAAATTACACCTACAGATCACATACTGCATGGAGACCATTTCCAGCTCCTTACCTGTGAGCTTAATGTGTCCTTCTTCATCCAAGAGGATGCTGAAACAAACAGAGGAAACACTGCTTAGGAACAGGATTCATGCTGCAATTGTTAAGCATCACTCATATTACATGGACTTCAGAACCAGCGACTAAACCAGGACCCGACAACACAGATGGAAGCTAAGAGTTTGCATTTTACACTGAGAAAAAGAAAGCGTGGTGGGAATGTGGAACAATCCACCCAACCAGCTTGTTGAAGTGGTGTGCCTGTGGTCTTTGAGCTTCAGGCCTCTTTGACGGTATGGCATTGCTATACAATGCACAGAAATGCCTAGCAAATCAAACAGGCTAATCTACAATCGAATATGCGTCATAGCATAGTCAATCACCACTTGACCACTTCCTCTGGCTTAAAGATAACTCCCAGCAAAACAAAATATAGACTCTAAGTGGATTTCAAAGCACTTGCTAACAAATATTAAGACTTCTCCCCATGCAAGTGAAACTTTCTCCTTTAGAACTTTGTTTAGACTGCATTTTATGCTCCTTCTTTGTTCACTCAACCATTTTCATCTTCCCTCCCCACAACCACAAGCAGACGTGATCTCAGATATGATCTGCAAATTACTATTGAAAAACTATTACAGCAGTTTTGAGACAGGATGCACTCCCACTCAAGGTGAAACCTCATTATCACACCTCTACCGATTAACGGCAATCCCATGCAATATCTCTTGCAAACAATGTAAAGTAATTTGCTTATGTAATTGGAATCTGATGTTAAATACTTTTCCCCCAGCGGGTAATAAAGTCTGAGGTGAACTGGGAAGTGACAGCTGAGATGTGCTTGAGAAGATCATATACATTTTGCGTAGCAGAATGGCAGTTAGCAGTGGTGTAATTAGGAGGCATCTCTTTGATAAATAAGGGTGATCCCATTCGACTACAAGGCATCACTGGACAACATCATGAAAAGAGGTACGTACTTTTCTGGTTTGAGGTCTCTGTAGATGATGCCTAGGCTGTGCAGGTGGTCTAGGCCCAGGGCAAGCTCAGCCAGGTAAAACTTCACATCCTCCTCAGTAAACATCACCTGAAAGAGAAAGCCCAACCAAGATGTTTGTAATACACCCCCCCCTACAGGGAAAAATCCCCACAAGAAAATCTGAAGCTCAATGATTAAAGAGCCTAAAGAAGAAAGGATATAACGATAAATTCTTCCCAGTGTGTTTAAAACCAGCCAGGACATTCAAAACCGAAATTCTTTTTCACTACAGCCACATACGCCTCAACTTAAAAATATACACATACTGTATACAGTACACATCAAATCGATTAACATGGAGCCCAAGTGACAGTTGAAGACCTCCGTCTCTTACACCATGTTAAATAAAGTACACTATCATTCAAAATATTCATTCAAATATATCATGCCAAGCAAAAGCATACATGACGCTGTTGATGGAAAAAAACTCATTTTTCTTATGACCCCAAAACTAGCAGAGGATAGACAGCAGAGTGGAACAGCAAGTACTACTTTGGATTGCAGGCTACCCCCTTGGCTCACAATCCTCCAATCACGTTTCATACGTGCTCTATGTACAGTAGATAATCACTTATACAAGAACCTGACCCCTTTTCGCTTACCTGGTGAAATTAAGTAAAAAGCAAATTTTAAAAAATAAATGAGCAGCCTTTCCTACATGAGAAAACTGTGAGGGTGCTACAAGCGCTTCGGACCCCGAAATACCTCTTTCGACAGCCTGGTGAAGAGATCCCCTCCGCGAAGAAAATCTAAAATTAGATAGAGCTTTCCCTCAGTCTGGAAAGCTACCGGGAAACAGAGAGAACAACATGTCAACATCTTGCAAACAGGTACACACATCAAACCAAGCAACAGGACACTGTCTCTGGAGTCCTCTGCTCCTAATGTTTCATTTACTGTATGCAAGTCTACTCTGGTGAATGACAGCATTTTCACACTGGTCTTAAAGGAGTTTTTCACACCAAGGGCTCTCCAGGTCGTCACTATGCTTCACTAGACAAGACCATGGGAATACCACTCTGGATAATAACAGATGAAATCTCTTTCTACTCTGTCATTGAGGTCCACTGTATATACCGACAATCATCATACACAAATCTTGCACCTACAATACATTTTTGTTAAGATCTCTGACCAAGGCAGTCTAAAATTAAATTTCACATTTTTCGTGCAAGCAGCTTCTTGCTTGCTGGTGTGCAGACGTCTTATCTGCTTATTGAATTCGGGTTATTTATAATCGCCTTCACAGCAGCAGCTGTGCAATTTGATTTTTCAGATAACTGGAGGCTTTACATCATCTGAATTTAAATGCTATAGGTTAAAAAAACGTTTAATATGCTGTACATTTGAATATGCTTCCAAATATAACCAGCCTGTAATTTTAAAAGTACCCTTTAGAGACCAAAACATCGTGCTCACTGTCCGAGACCAAACAAGAGAAAAACAAATAGATTTGCAGGCACACCCTCGTGCCTCCTGAAAGCTCACCATAGTGCAACTTCACAACAAAAGGGTGGTTCACATCAGCTAGAATGTCCCTCTCCATTTTCGTCCTCACTCGGTCCCGCACTGGAGGAAGGAGCAGACAGATGTGTTAGAAATTTACTGTTGTTTTAGTGGTCCTTGAGTCACAAACAGTGGGATCCAATTCTGGTCTTGAAGATTTCTAGATCAATGGCCTGAATTATTTTACCTTTATGGCTCAAATTCATATTTCCATGTTAATCAAAAGGAATAAGTGCTGATATTGTTAAGGAATACTTGAAAGGAATACTTCCTTTGATAGAAAAAAGGTTTTCAATGTTGAATGACAATATTTACAGAAGATCGGATTTAGAAGTCCTATTCTGAAAGTATGTTGTATATATTTTGAATACTTTGTCAGGTGATTGTTTCATTACTGACAAGGTGTGCATGTATTGTTTTCTTAGATACTGTTCATAAAACTATCAGATTTATACCTTTTTCCAAGGAAGATGTACAGTATGGGATGTATTAATTAATGATTCCTCTACAATGATTCAAGTTCAATGGAAAAAAAAAATATTTCTGTATACAGTAATAAAGCACACAAAGCAGTTAATCACTGCAAAAGAAAACTGCACAGTTTGCACCCTGAATGTGGCTGAAAATATTTTTTTTTAGTGGCACACGATTCCCATCTGGCTCTAATTCTGGCCTGTGTCCACCTCCGTTCTGCAGTCTACTGTCTTTAGACTTGATTTCACAGCCCTGACAGCCCAGAAACCCAGATTCATAGATCATACTTTTTCTACTGGCCATAAACTTTATGCAACAGTCCATCTAGTGTTAAAAAGAACATGAATTATCATATATGGGACTCCCACTATAAAGCAACATTTAACAATCAGAGCCCAGACACACAGAAAACAGAATATACCTGGGACAAAACACAAAGCACATGAAGGAGCAGGCACCAAAACAAATGCATCTGATAACCTGTTCCCTGTTTGCATGTGACAAGCAGGGCCTGACGCAGATGCTTGTACAGGTCACAGGTATTTATAATGGAAGGATTTTAAACCTACAGAGTGTTCCAATTAATACGAGAGTTCACACTTGTTTATGTACTCCACAGTGGTTTTAAGAGGGAGGGGTAAATAGCGAGACCTCTCTTTTTTACTGAAGGGGTGAGGAGGTGGGGTGGGGTCTGGGGGCAACAAAGAGGCAGCCCTGTGAACACAAAATGTTTTTGGCTGCTCTTTGAAGAAACTGTGATGCACTGTAGCTCTTGAAAAACAAAAACAGCCACTTCCTGCAAAAACAGTGCTAGGGCTTGAACTCACACAAGAGGTTGAGTGAAAAACATACAAATGAAATTTGGGAGGAGTGAGGGGTTTTTAATCATGTAAACTGCAGCAAAATACATCATTTTATAGTGCATTTGTAACCCTGAGATTTTACTGTATACATTATATTTCAACTTGGAAAAAGAAAACTTGCCACTTGGTAAGAGCTGGATGGAAGACACCAGTCAGGGCTTAGTTGCACTTGAAAGTTCTCTCATTTTGGTGTAATTTTGTGATCTACAGTAAAAACATTTACTATGTCAGAAGTGCAATCAATGTTTCTGTACAGACAGGCATTCCTCTTGTAGAATTTATAATGATCACATCAGTACTTATGTGGAGCTGGGGAACTCAAAGTTAAAAAAATTGTCAATATGTCATTTCCTGATGAGTGCTTGTTCAAAAAGATTTCAGGATGAGATAACACCAGTTCTGAGCATCTGAAACCCCCTTTAGGACATACATGATTTATAAAGTACTGTAAAATTACAGACTTGGCAATCCATCTCCTTCACAGTATAATATGAAGAACGAAACGCGTTTAAGTACTAAAATAGAAAACACGTTGAGTTTGCTGAGAAACCATAAAAAGAGATTGCTAAGATCTTTAACATGTCTACTGTCAGTGCCAGAGCTTCATCAGCAAACCAGTACTAAGGATATTCCAGACTTCTTCAGATACTACAGAGGCATCACCCCATGACAATTCAAAACATTTGGAAAGCATATTGTTGCTATATAAAATCAAACCTGCTGTTCTGCAGGCAATTCTGTGCAACATAATTAAGAAAAACCAAGAAAACCTTGTCACATTCATGACAACTGGAACAGTCCATTCCAGTGGCAGCTGCAAAAGATGAATGCAGTGCATCTCTAGTCTAGAACATATTGTCCTGCGTGTGCTATTGCACCAGATAGAATCTGAATCATGAGTTGGGTAGCTCTGGCTGAGCTGATGTTTAAGGACCATTAATGAAAACGCAATACTGTGGATTTTCACAGATTAGAACAGCAATTCAAACCTGACAAGCAAAACCACTGTTAAAACCCAGGCCTTGCGGTTCAGGGACACCAGTTTGAAGTAGCAGAAATACTAATTCCAACAAGGTGGAACGCTGCTGCTCTGATTACCTTTTAGAGTGGCCTTCTTCAGGACCTTCATGGCGTATAGTTGGTTGTCGTCGGGAGGTGTGATTTTGCGGACTAGAAACACCTGAACGAAAAACAGAAGCAGACATAGGACCATATTCATAAAGCATGTTCCTCTTACGCTGAATATACAGTTCTTTCCTAAAAAAACACTTCCCAATGACTCTCAAAATATAATGGGTGGTGGGACAACATTGTATACAATTTCACTGTGCTGTTTAGGAATATGGAAGCCATGTGTATTGGAATATGGTTCTATTCTGATCTGGCTCTATTCAGGACATGACTGACTTTCCCTTAACTGTGGTGCTAACTCCAGCTGGTGTAAAGTCATTAACAAGGTCTTGATTATACATCTCTTCCAAAGAGCAGACCACATGGAGGTTACTTTTTTAGGAGGTTTGCTTTCAATCTTTCTCTCAGTTTACACATCTGATTAACCTAAATAGATCTAAAATAGATCCTAGGCTTGCTTTGGTTAAAACACATCCATTAAAAACTACTAAATCTTCTATAAGTTAACGTTAATGAATAAGCAGTTTTAAAAACTAATCTGTAAGTTAGTTTGCATTCTCAAATAATGGATGGGTTTTAAAAGAGCTCAGGGCTTGTCAAATTACCTTTTGAAAATTAATTATAAAATATCTTTTGAAATCCTTTGTACTTGGAATTCTACACCTGAAAAAATATCTCAGGTAGTCTCCAAATTAGAAAAACAGTTCTTGGAATTTAGGTTCTGATATGGGACTTGTTGCTCTTGCTTTCAAGAGCACAACAATTCTAGTATTTTCCAAATGGAACATGCCTCTGGTAAAATCCAAATTTACTACACCAAAAATGCTATGAATTCAGATTGAGAGCAGAAAATATGGCAAATAACTAAAACTGGACTGGATAGTTTTTACACCTTGCTCTATGTACTGTACATTACCCTTGATATCTAAAAAGCTTTCCATTATTAGGTACTGTAACTTCACTGAATATAGGAAGGTACAGTAGGGTGGAATGTAGCTTTGACTGTAGAAGTTTAAAGCTAAACGGACTAGGGTCCCATCTCTGGGAAAACATAAACTTCCTGTTTGCTTAATGCTATAGTGCTGGAGGTACAGTACCATTGTGCTCCAGATGTAGTGGGATATTAGGTCTGTAGAGGCGATTAACCCTTTTTGTTCTCAATGCTAAACGAGCAGTTTTGGGAAATCCCATTAATTGTAATGGGATGTTTCAAAAAAGGAGAGAAGAAAACGTTTGAAAATGAGATGACACTTTAAGAAAATGGGGGAAACCGTATTCTAGCTGGGTTGTTAAAGGTTGCTGAAAATGGTCTTTTTTGATCTTAAGTGTTGCATGCTGGCAGCTGCACCTGCAAAGCACCTTGAGGTTTTTAGTCTACTGTATGTTGATAAAATAAAGCACGCTACTCTTGCTGAGGACAGAGGCCAAGAGACTCCAATGCGATGCTTGATGCTTTTCAGCTGGGAAACCGAGCAGTGGCACTAAAGCCGTGAAAAGATAAATCCAAAACTGTCTTCTCTCGCTTAATTAAGGCATGAAATTAAGAGCACGGCTAAAGAATGAATCATTCAAATCCCTTAATTCTGCATGGATTAATTTTTTTAACCAATTTCATGTCAGTTTGAAAGATAAGTGCTCTGGTTCCTTGCCTGCAGTTGATGCCGATTTGCATAAATGCACAAATAATGACACCCCAGCTCTTTAGTAGATAATTTAATGCCGTGCTTCACATTGTGATGCACACCTCCACCTGATACGCAGGCCCGTGACAAGACAACAAAGCTCCTTTCACACAGACCTCAGAGCCCCTTTATAACAATAAAGCTGTGATCTCCTAAACCGATTTCTTTTTTCCATTAAGGGGTGGACAGTGAAAGAAACCCAAGTTTTGCATTCAATCTCCAAGATGATACAGAGAAAAAAATACCAGGTTAAACTAATAGCTATTATTATTATTTCCAGAGCACTGTATTTTGGAATTGTTCAGGGTACTGAAATTCCAATTTGAGTCGTGACTGCAGAGTTTTTGTACATTTGGTGTTTTTCTATCTATATTCAGAGAAGTAAGCTATAAAAGATAATGAAATGTTCTCAGTATATAGTATGAATTCCTACCCCTTTCTAAAAGTTCTCACAGGTATGTTGTATGGATGGAAATTGTTATACAAACCATTTCCCCTTTCATTCCATGTTGTACAGTAAGAACCTCTGATCTAGTTAAAACCAGTGTCTTAAAGTTGCTAAAGAAAGCCAGAGGGAAAGGCAGTTAGTGGCGTTTTCCACCCAAAGGACACCTGTTTAATGTGCGTTTTTAATTACCTTCTGGGACACCTACCTTCCCAAAGGAGCCCTGCCCCAGGACTTTAAGCAGCTCAAACTGGGAGGGATCCGCCTTCTCTGAGCCCTCCTTGACATGGTGCGTGATGTTGATCTCCTTGATAACATCGTCCTCCTGAAAGGAAAGACAGCTCCGTCAGAAAGGGAAGGACTGGGGTGTGCGACACTCCAGGGCTCCTGCAGCTCCCCAGCTCTCTTCACAACAAGCCAAGAATTTCAGGGACACTTGAAGCAGTAAAAGCAAAGCCAAAAAGGAGGATAAAACAAGCTTTTAACTCCATCCTTTCTCAGGGAAAGCGAACAGGATTGAAAAATGAATATCAGGCAAACATCTTCTGACCTCTTCTGCTGAAGCTGCATCACAACACAATGGGTGTCCTCCCAAGTGATTGAAGTAATAACGGACAGCATTTTTAATTCAGGATCACAGTTTGGACATAATGAACATTAAGTAGGTCTCTTTAAGTGGTGACATTCACTAGGCACTGAGTAACCTGTGCTGAATGAGTTGACAGCAGGCTTGCAGCTTTTTGAATATTTCAGTTTTTGCACAAAATGCCACAACAAAATGCTCACCTCTAAATTGAACATTTTTAGGTCAGCCCTCACAAGTGTAGATCACTTTCTTGGCCATTCAGGGATAAGGTAGCTTCTCCATTTGAATTGATTACCATCAGTAATTTAACTTTTTCTTTTTCCAGATTAATCCTAAAATTAAAGCAACCTCAACCTGCATATTTTTAGCCAATGATTCACGTTCAAATCAAGTTTTTAATTGATTTTTATTAATACGTTCATTTTCTGAAATCTCTTCTTTACCACATCATTACCACTATTACTACTAGGAGAGGTGAAAACATACTGATTTGATCACAGTGTTCAGGAAAAAACAAACATTGAAAAGAACTGATTACTGAGCCTGGAGTTGTGGTCTCACAGTGAAGGTGAGGTAGACAGTCTGATAACTCTTTCCAGAGGAAGAGAACACTGATCATCAACTGGACGCTCCAAACAACAAGCAGAGATATCCAAGTACCCGGAAACCAGTGGGGTGAGTGTCTAGTCTTTCTTAAAGGTTACTGGGAATCATTAACTCTTCACCTGCCTCAAGGCTGGTAATCAGGTATTAAAGTTAGACGTACAGAGAATTACCAATTTTACTTAAACATTGACAGGCACAAGCACAAGTAAACAGAAATAAAAGGATAAGAAGAGACACTGAAGCCCCTCAGGTCCACATTGGAAGGGGGCTCATAAACATCACAGCCCTGACTTTGGAAGAAGGAAGATGCATCTTTTAAAAGCTACTTGACTGCTCAAGCTCAATATATGAACAGCAGAATCTGCTGCTGTTCAGCATTGGGATCAAAGATCTTGAAATATGCCCAGATTATTGACAGGGTCTGCAGCCCATGGGTTAATTAAGCAATTAAGAATCAATTCAGTACTTGACTTATTGGAAGGTTCAAAGCCCAGGTGCAAAGGGTGACTATGCTTACCCTGTGCAATGCAACACAGCCTGAAGCATTAACACGGGAAGAGCACCAGACAGTACAACTGCTACTATTATAAATGTGGGAAAAGAACCATTTATAAACCAAGTTGAAATACCTATGAATAAGACATTTATTAACTGACATAAGCCGAAACATAAAAACCCTGGTGCTGGCTTCTGATCGTGGGTCCACATCTAGTGAAAACCAGGAGTGGATCAAACTGCAGTCATATGAAAGGCAACTTACAAATGAGATGCCTTAATAACCACGGCCATGCTTTGCTTGACTAATGTTAAAAAAACACTACCATAACTCCCTCCTAAAAACAATACAATATAACGGATAAGAACCACTTAGCAAAATAAAATTTTGCATACTGTACACACAGGAGGATCACTGTTACTGAGCTGCATCTACAGAAAGTCTCTCTTCGGTCTAAAGTCCTTCAAGGTGTCTTCCTCCATTTTCATCTGATTTCCCTCTGCCTGAAGATTAGCTCTTGGTTTGTAGATGTACAATACAGTGTGGCATAGTAATACAGTACATTACAAATAACTGCTAATAATCGTGGTCCTGTCACGTGATGTGCACAAACAGTTTTAGGGTTTATGCATTTTATGTGTTGCGTAGTATTTTAGGAGTGCTTTTTTAACCTCATTCAAGTCTCATAAAGCCTCAAAGTATTACTACAACAAGTCATTGCCTCTTTCTAATCCACTTTATCCTCCATTTGCAGATCCCATATGGGAGACGCACAGTATCCATTCTGCACCAGGAGTCCCACTCCACAGTGGGAGTCACAACTCCCATTGAGAAGTCAGAATGTACTTGTCAATATCTATACACAGAGACATGTACTGTAGGCAGACCAAAGTGACATTTGCAAAATGAGAATGAACACAGCACTATTCAAGTACCTCGATGCTGGTCTGATGACCAAGCGGTCAAGAACTCTGTTTAATCTCAAACTAAAAGACAGCATAGGGAGAGGGAAGTTCACCACCTACCACCATAGACCTCACCAGGCCAAACCTTGCTTAGCTTCTGGTTTCTATAGTATCCAAACATGTACAGTACCTAGAACAATGTGTGGAGACTATGCACAGCAATTTGCAACAACATTTTCAATTAGAGTACATCGCTGCTAGAATCAGCAGCATTGTAGCCTTTTAATGTTGCTGCTGGGAATTGTGTTATTTTGTCATTTGTCATTAGCAGTTGTATTATTATTGCTAACAGTGAAATTCCATTGTCCAAGAATTCCATTGGAAATTCCACTGTTCATTGTCCAGCTTCTTATTTTAAGGCCTCATATTTTCTCTCCCTGTTTACACTGGTGAAGATGGACTACAGGCCCTGACAATCTGCTGGCTTCTGTAGTTCCAGTATCAGTTCTGGAAACAGTGAGGCCATACTAAAATTAACACCAGAACAATTACAATGATGAAACCAAAAACCTACAGTCAGAATATTGCACACAGTGACTACAGCCAACAGAAGGCCCTGCTGCTCAGAGAGGAAATGTTTCGATGCAGCAGTGCTAGAGTGCTTCCTGAGGAAAAGTATGTGAGAATTTCAAAATCAATGTTACAGAAATAACTAGGTACAGAATCCTAGGGAAACGATCCAAATCATGTCGATACTGGTAGAAAGTTAACATAAAACAAAAAAAAGCCAGAAACAGGCATAACAATTAGTGAAGAAGTGTTGAAAAACACGATGGGAGAACAATAGTGAATTCTGGCTAATCATACTCCTAAAACTAAAATTCATTCGTTTGTGTAATTTTAACTCACATACATCTAAAGATACAGAAAGGACAAGCAGCACAAACTGATCAAAATAATTAGCTTTGTGGGAATATTTAACAGGGTACACAATTAAGTTTGGTGGAGTACAATCATATTTCCTGCCTGAAAATTAATAAGCTTGCAAAAGCAGTGAGCTAACACCTGTGTGACAGCCTGAGGTTGTCTGCAGCAAGCAGGTCTTCAGTAAGTAAGCCTTTCTCTTTAAAAGCTCCCATGTGACATACTGTAGCAGAGGCTGTGACGGTAAGGACCGTAGACTAGCAAGCAGCATGCAGAGCACAGCTCCTCTCTAACCAAAACACACAGCAGTGAGTTATAAACGAGCAGGAAAATCTACATGGTGATCAAGTAAAGCCACTGTTTCTTTTTATCTGATGCTATTGAAACAAGCTTTTGAGCTGTAAGTTTGGGATAAGCTGACCGTTTAACAGCACTGAACCTGCTCTCTCGCAATCGGAGGTTATTTCTGAAGCATGTTTTTTTTTTGCATCAGGGCTAAATTTGCTTGTGCACATAACCCTGACTTTATGAGGTCACAGCTATAAATGTAACGAGATGAAAAACACATAGTGGTAGCTCCTTTAAACCATCATTTTAGAGCTTGTCAATAAACTGAAAAACATATATACTGTACGATATACATGCGCATATACTGTATTAATACAGACTTCAGATTGCCAGCATACTGTGGTGCATTTTCACACACAAAAGAGCGACTTGCACTGAATTGAAACCTAAGCAAAAACACTCCTGAACAACACAGATCCAATTCCAGTTAGTGTAACGCCAAGACACCTCAGCCCACAACTAAATGTGGATTCCTTCCTTTTTTCAAGCTTACACACATCTGCACAATTCCTTTCAGCAGATTCCAGGACATTCTCAAAGCCCTCTGGTAAAAAAATCAGAAGAGTGCAAATGTGAAAACGGAAAGGGTAGAGCTGCAAAAAAAAAACAACCTCAAATTAAACTTAAACCCAACTGGTAGACAAAGAGGACCAAGAAAAAGAAAATGCCTTCGATACCAGGGATGGTAAATCCTTCTTCCAGCCACCTGGTTACAAACTTTCACTGCACTGTATGAAACACTCTCTCCCCAGAACGCTGCTGCCTAAATCAGGCTCTTTCAAAGACCATGTGGTGTAACCTGTAGTCAGGTCCAGTGATCAGAAGGGTACTAACCGGGTTCCACTCGTTTCCGTCCGTGGGTGCTGCCGAGGTGCTCACGGGCTCCTGTGTGCTGCTCAGAGCCTTGGTCTGATGCTTCTTGAACAGGTAGAGTGTGAGGAACCTGCTGACCTTGAACTTCCTCTTCTCTTTCTCCATGTCACCCCAACAGCCCTGGAGCTGCCCCCCCCGCGGCCCCGGCTATCATCCCCGGGCAGAGAGAGACCCCCCGGATCCGCGCGCAGCAGGGCAGACAGACCGGGCGGGCGAGCAGGCAAGCGAGCAGGCAAGCGGGCGAGCGAGGTTTTCTTTTTTCTCTCTTTCAATCTGTCTCTTTAATTTTTTTTTCGGGGTTGTTGCTTTTGTTCTGCTTCTCTGTGCAGTGCAGGAAGGAAGCAGGTGGTGTAGCCCCGACCTAAATAATAACACCAGCGAACCTGCAAGTCAGTGTCCCAAAGAACTTGGCAAGTCAGTATGTGCAGCCCTGTGAGCCACTTCCGCCAGTATTTAAAACATTAGAAACATTGTTTGTATCGATACACATCTTCATGATCGCTGCCTCCCGTCCCTCTTACCACAGAGTAACAGCAGGTAACTCCCTGACTGTAAATACTGCTCAACAGAGGGCTAGTTTTAATAGTCAATAATAACTCTTCTTCCTCTTTCCTGTGAAATGAATGCTTTGAATTGAAACTAAAGACTGTCCTCCACTTCAAACCACTTCTTACGGGTGAGCTTGACCTCTTAAACTGAACAAAATGCAATTGAAAAATCAGTATATGTTTAACTATGTACAGATAAAAAAAAGGTTTAACTGGATAAAACAGCCGTGCAAGAGAACTAGACAGAGGTTACTCCACATAAAAAGGAAGAGCAAAGGACGAGCATGATCCTCAGTTCAAGACACCTCTGCAGTTTTTGAGCAGGTGGTCTGTGAGAAAGACACAGTCTAACAGATCCGATCTGAAACGGGAAACAGATGAGCCTGTCTTTGCTACCAAGGGAGTGCTGGACTTTCACATCCTGTTACAAAAATGCTGTCTTTGCACGGCTGCAATTGCTCAAAACACAATGACCTAAAACGCAAAATCTAGGCTTGTGGGAGTCTGTGACAAGGTGCCCAGCCATGAGGATGAACCTGATACCCTGGACTCTTTTAAAGAAACAACCAATTCTCACATCAATTAAAAAACATTTTCTTTTCCAAAACAGAATCAGCTTTAGTTTCTCGAAAAAAGGCAGAAAGGCACACTGGGAAGTATTCAGAAAGCCTGCTGGTTACAGTCCTAACTAATAAAGAGATAGCTCGATAACTAGAAAGTAACTACCTGGTCTTTACCTAAATACACAAATTCAGTATTTCAAAATACTCGACTAGAGTGCATGTTTCCGCCTTTTGGAAAATTAAATTAAAAAACCAACTTGCTCAGCAGGAAATTGACTCCTCTAAATCAGCACAAGGTAAGCACAGATTTAAAAAATACCACTTTACATTTGATCTTAAAAAAGGCACCATGAATTCCCACTAATTCAGTTTGTTGAAATGCAACATTCAATAAAATGTTGGTTTTTTTTACAGCTGTGACAAATTATCCTCAAAAGTGTTTTTTACCTCACTGAGGCTAACAATTTGAATCATAATGCACCTCCCGCCAGCTGTAGCACCTAGTTTTCAACAGGACCGAGACACAGCTTCGTAGCTTTTTCACTGGCAAGTGTCAGCGCAGGCTGACCCCCCCAAACAAATCACAGAACGTGTAGGAACTCAATGTTTGTGAATAACGAGCTTTGTACAGGTTGACTATGAAGTCTGTCGAGTTACTGGAGCACCTGAATCTTGAAAAACAATGGGTTTGGGTACACATACAAACTGAACAATGGCAAACACATTCCAGGGGACAGCAACAATACAAGTTCAAGGGCAATATAACTCGCATCCACCAGAGGGCAGAGAGTCCGTTTCTAGGACATAAAGGTGCAGTGGCATTGAGTGGTGTACGTTTTCATTGTGATGGTCCCATTTGTGCATGCACCAAATTCCACTGCAGCAAGGCACAGTCTTGCCAATCAGCTACCTTTCTAAACATGCTGTATAAGGCAAAGAGGACCACACAGTGATCATAGTAAAGCTTTGCAAAATAATCAATAGGTCACATCACAATTCTCTAAAGGAACCAGGAACTTCAGGGCTTCTGGAGTCAACAACTATCTTCAGAGAGGTTAACAGTCAGCTGAGATGAAGGAATCTCAACAAGGACACAAAACATTCTCAAAATACAAAATACCTAAAATACTTTATGTACTCAACCAGCTTTGCTGTTTATGAGATCAGCTGACCTATGAGAACATACAACAGCAACATAAGTCTTTTCAACCTCCGTAAACTCACAGATGAGATCCTGAGTATGTATGTTTGTATGTTCTCTCAGTGTTTGTGTGGATTTCCTTCAGGTGCTCTGGTGTCCTCCCACAGTCCAAAAGCATGCTGGTAGATTAGCTTCTAGGAAAATTGGCCCTGGTGTTAGAGTGTGCGTCTACAGAATGTCTGTGTGCGTGCCCTGGAATGGACTGGTGTCCTATCCAGGCTGTATTCTGCCTTGTGCCTGTTGCTTGCTAGGATAAACTCCAGCTGAACTGCGACCCTGAATTGGATGGATAGATGAATGGACATCTTAATCTAATAAACTCTGGAACACATAGATTACAGTACAGCAGTAAAACATTCACAACACACACCAATTGCAGTAAACTGAAAGGAACAAATACCCCATCTTCTACTTTCTAGTGTGACAAGCATTAAACCAAACATAGCCTCAGACCACTGCTATTTTTATCAGCAGAGAAATCGAACAGAATTTGTCTTTCCCATATGTGCTCCGTGAAAGCCCCCTTGCTGTGTCGGAAGAGAGGCCGGAGACAGAAAGGGCTATGTAAAAGAGGGATTACAAATGTTTTTTTAAAGTAGGGAATGTTGATGTTCTCCACATCATAAAACGACATATAAACCTAAGAGAAAGAAGAGGAACTTGATTCACCCAAGGGCTTAAGCACATGACCTACAAGAACACACAACAGGAACTGAAGTCTTTCAACCTCAGTAAACTCCTAGATGAGATCCTGAGATCAATTCTCTAACAGCAAGATGGGCAGAGAGGGCTCCTCTCGTCTATAAGCTCCAAGATCTTCTCCGTTTCGCAGGCACTGCTGCCCGTGACGTGTTGAGAGTGGTTTTGAGGTGCCCACGCCCACGCTGCCTCTTTTTCTCCTGTGTGTAGTCAAGGGCTTTGTGGCTGTGAGTCGAGGTGTGAAAAAACATGACATTCATGTAGATGCTAGAGAGGGTTTCCTGTCTGTGTCTCCATGGAGAGAAAGCTGGGGTATGCGAAAAGACGAATTCCTAATGCAAGAAAATTGTATAGGGCTAATAAATAAACATTATACATTATTATTATAGATGCTAGAGAGGGTTTACTCTTTCCACAAAAGGCACATGAAAGCAAAGAGAGTTAGAAAGCTGCAAAACGCAGCTACAGTACATGATAGAGGCACGTGGAGTAGCTTTGAAAATACTGTATGGCAAGCTCTGGTAGAAGGGCAGATAGATTTTGAGTCTTTGGGAGTTGTCTCCATGAAGTTTGCATGTTCTCCCTCTGTGTTCAGGTCCCCTCCTATCTCCCAGAAACATGCAAAATAGGCCTGGCTAGCTATTTTAAATTATCCCTATGGGACCTCACACCCATCAAGAAGGCTGATAGTCAGCCACATCATTGCCATCAGTCAGATGGTTATTGGTGCCTCTCATGTCTACAATCAATTCAAGTTATGGGACTATAAAGACAGATGACCTATTCTCCTCATAACATTTTTGCACTGTTTATTATTAACCAATTTATTTTCCATCTGAGGACTTGGATGAGCACAGTGCAGACAGTACCAAGGCCCAGGGTCTAAATAACCTCCTGTTTTCCTCTCGCTAAAGGACAGTGATTGAAACTTCAGACACTCTGGGAGCATAAAGCTACCTCTAAGATGAGTCATGGGAATTTGCAACAGTCATCCTAAACGTTTGGAGACCTGGTTGAAAAACAAACAAAAAAAAGCAGCAGCAAAGATTACAGAGGACTGGCTGGGTTAGTGACATGGCAGTTAGGAGATAAGAGTTGCAACACTGTGCTACTTGGTCCCCTGCTCACTACTGCAAAATTACCACAAAAGCTGCAATCTAATCTGCAAGTCAGCGTGACAGAAATTAGAAGAAAGCAGCAACACAAACAAGCAAAATGCAATCAGTTTTAGTCATAAAGATCTTACCTTGACTGCTAAATTGGCAAAATCCTTCTCTACCCAGGTTATTTCTGATTTATCCTGTGGTAAGGTTGGGAGAAGACATGTGTCAATACATCAGACTCCATTATTAGTGATCAGGTCAATAGTGTCAACCACTTTGAAGACACCCATGACTAATTCTACCAGAACTTAACTGCAAAGGTATGTAAAAACTATGTAATAGTTTTTTTTTTTTATTTTATGTTAGTTCTATGTAACTTATGCTAGTAGGCCTTACCAACAATTTTAATATGGTCAAAGCTGAATTTTTTAAGGTAAGCTCTTCTAACTTAGATTTGATGGAAATCTAGTGGCGAGATTTAAGAAGGGTAGTGTGAGAATAAAAGTGGGAGACTGTCTTTGGAAATGCAGGAGGTTGCTTTTTACAATAAATTCAAGAAAAAAAAATATTGATGGGGGATTGAAGACTGGAACCAAATTGCAAAATTTTCAATCTGAAAACTTGAGATCTTTTGAAGGTTTTAGCAAGCACCCTTCCCCAAGCAATGAATCATGTATCTTATAAGTAGGAAGTGAGAAAGCCACAGAGCCATCTGCTGTTTCAAAGACTTTTTACAGTTACTCCCAACAACCCCTGCACAGCGTCCTACACAGGAGAGCACTCACTGTACAGCAGGGGGCTCCACACACTGGAGGACTCTCTCACTGTACAGC